TTTTTAAAAAATTAGGGCAAATTACATATACCTCCCTCGAAGTTTAGCTAAATTACAGATACCTCCCTGAGGTTTCGAAAATTACATCCCACCCCCCGAGGTTTGTATTTTCATAATAATTTGCCCCCTGAGGTTTACATTTCATAACAAATTACCCCCTAATTTGTTATACAAATATAGCATTCAAGGGGGAATTTGTAATTTCTCAAACATCAGGGGGATATCTGTAATTTAGCCAAACCTCGAGGGGTATATGTAATTTGCCCAAAAAATTAATAACTACTCTGAATGCACTAAGAGAGACCCATGCAAAACCATTGGTAACCACTAATTTGTGCTCCTCTAGCTTTACAAAAAGCCATATTCCAATAAAGAAAGTAAAATAAAGTGGCCATGTATTATATATCCCCCACCAAAGATCCACCTTTCTCCAACTATAAATTAGACATTGTTCGCATTGCTCTATGTTCAGTCAAATAGAAATCCTCCCTAAAGATCCTCTACACTTCTAGCTACAAAACCCTAGCAAACCACTCTTGAGAAAAAAAACACATTTGCTCGCAATATGGATGCTATCAAGATAGCAAAGATTCAAGCCATCAACAAGTTTAAAAGGAAACAACTTCTAAACAACCTCTTCTTATATTCTTTGACAGCATTGATCACTAGTTTCTTTTGTTCTAGTTCTTTCTTCTGTTACCCCCCTCTATTTTCTTGCATGAAGGCCTTTCTCTCTGTCTCTCTCCCACAAATCAGTTCACCGTTCTTCAACTCCAAGTTGTCCTTCATCGTTTGCAACCTTATCATTGTCTTTCTAGTAGGAGAGTCCAAGGTGTTCACCTCTGACTCTCCTTCCGCTAGCAATATCTATTATGATGTGTGTTTTAATAGGAGAAGAAGCCCTTGCAATCTTTCTTCGATTGAAAAGGTGGTGAAATTCAAAAGGAGGTACAACCACAAAGGAGGAAACAAGATCACTAGCTGTGTCTATTATCCCCTTCAATTTTCTTGCATGAAGACCTTTCTGTTTGTCTCTCTCCCACAAATCAGTTCACTGCTCTTCATCTCCCAGTGTTTCTTCCTAGTTTGCAACCTTATTGTGATCTTTCTTCATCTCCCAGAGTCCAAGTCATTCACATCTTACTCTTCTTCCACTAGTGATGTCTATTATGACGTGTATGTAAATAGGAGAAGCCTTCACAATCTCTCTTCGCTTGACAAAAAGGAAGAGGCAAAATTGGAGAGGAGGTACAATTGCAAAGGAGGAAACAGGATCACTAGAGATATAACACAAGAGTTTGTTAAGAACACAATAGAATATAGACTTGGGGGAGAGATTTCTCCTCCTCCAGACCCAAAGTCTTTCGAAGAGAAAGTTGTAAGTGCTTTTGGAGAGGAGAGGAGACGGATGGAGAAACAAGATGAGGAGTTAGACAGGGAGGGGTATGGTTTGCCTGTTGAAGAGTTGAACAAGAGAGCTGATGACTTCATTGCAAGAGTCAATAAACGAAGGAGGATTGAAGCTGCACTACTTAGTGCACAAGACTACACCTAAAACAGGGTCTACAAGAATAGGATATACATAGCATTAGCCCATTTCTGGAAGGACTAGGGGAAAAAAAAAATTTAAAATTTAAAAAAAAATTAAAATTTTAAAAGAAAATTAGCAATAGCTATAATAAAATTGGAAGATTTAAGAACTTTGTATACTTAGTTATTCAGCTGTAAATTCAACCATGACCTCAACCAGTTTTTCTTCCCTGTACTCAAGCTTTGCAAAATATATGGTTAAGCCATAGGCCCTAATCTTGGAGAAACTCAACACAGTTCGTGAACCATTACTTAGCTCTCTGTATTCATCCATGATTTAGCTCTATATTCATCCATGGAAGCTTGCTGGCCATTGTTTGATGTGACTAGTTTGGTTGGAGGGTAATAGGCGAGTTTTCTTGGGGGAGATGCATTCGGTGGCATGGCTGAAGCGGCGTTTGTTTATTGTGTTACATAGCTAGATATCATTGACAATGGACCCGGATGTTTTGACTTTTGTTGATTTTGTAGAGGACTTGATTCAGTAGTTGTTTTTTTGCTCTTGTCTTGCTGTTTAGTGTTGTTTCTGTATATGTTTGCACTAGCTTTAAGGTTTGGTTTTGTATTCTTTGCATCATCTAGATACTTTTTCAATAAAGTTTGCTTATTTATCACAAAATATATATATTTATATATGCCAAGCATGCTTATGGGTATGGCAAAGTATTGGAAGGAGACCAGATGGGTTAGGTATTGGTAACAACGTCCACGTGACACTTCTCAGTTTGATTAGGTAAAATATATAAGAAACAGATGGACAATAGTTTGGGTCTTGGTTCAGAAACATAACATGATTCATGCACAAAATTTCAAACAGAAGTTTCGGTATATGGGCAGCCTAATTAATTCTAATATTAAAAATCAGCACATATGTCCTTAATTAATTCTAATATGATCAGGGTCATCCAACCGGGAAAGATCTTCTATCCCATAATATATAGTGGGCACTACCCATAAGATCTTCTAACCCATAATATCAGCTAGCAAGTATGTCCTTAATTAATTTTAATGGTTGCGGTGGTAGACACTACCCGTTACACCCACTTTTGTGGTGTTATAAAAATTCACACGTATAACGACTATTTTAGTATTACGTAACAGCCGTAGCAATACTGTAATGGCCGTAACGGCCCATTACACACACTTATAATATTTTAAATAGTTTCATTTCCCATAAAAAATAAAAATAAAAATAAAAAAAACTTACAAAATACACATTATTATGCAATATTTAGTAATTCAAAAATAATTTTTGCTTATATCTCAATTTTTATTTTTATAATCATTTCATTTAACAATTGTAAATATTTTTTATTTAGTTAATTCAAATATTGGTAAAAAATAATTTTATTGACATTTAAAATCGATTATTCTTAAAAAAATTAATAAAAATTAGAGGTAGAATATATATTTATGACATATAAAAGCCTTATTTGGTAGGACTTATTTCCAGTTTATTTCAGCTTGTAGTTTAATTTAAGCTATTTTGATATGTTTGGTTCAGTTTAACAATACAGCTTATAGCTTTTTGTAAGTTAAAAATCAACTTATTCTTTGAGTGGGGTACGAGAAGCTTAATTTACAAGTCAAAAATTAACTTATGTTCACAGTTATAAGCTATAAGTTGTTAGGGTAAGGGTATAAGTTATAATCAATTTCCCACAGCTCTACCAAACAGAGCCAAAGTCATTAACTATTGAAATAAAATGTTAAAAGCCCCTTTTATAGTGATTTAAAAATATGAAATATATTGAATCATACTTAAAAATTAACAAAAATTGATCAAGATCTATTTTAAACCTCAATAAATGTGATTTTGAAAGGGAGAAAAATGCATATCGATAAGTTTTTTTAAAATTGTGTAAAAACATTTTTAAAAAAAATTACGGTTCCAGTTACCACAACCGTTACACTAAAGCCTCTACACCCCGCAACCATGCCATCGCAACGGTTACGGCGATCGCAACCGCTTTTTGAAACCTTGGATGTACTAAATAAACGATCTTTCTATCCTCCACTACTGGACCACCGTCCCTCGCTTCATTGGACCTAGGTTTCCCCTAACCTGCAGTGCATAGCCTACCGTAGACGAAGCAAGAACAAAAAGAATATCATTGTTTTTTATCTCAGGTATTGGTAACAACGTCCACGTGACACTTCTCAGTTTGATTAGGTAAAATATATAAGAAACAGATGGACAATAGTTTGGGTCTTGGTTCAGAAACATAACATGATTCATGCACAAAATTTCAAACAGAAGTTTCGGTTTATGGGCAGCCTAATTAAATCTAATATGATCAGGGTCATCCAACCGGGAAAGATCTTCTATCCCATAATATATAGTGGGCACTACCCATAAGATCTTCTAACCCATAATATCAGCTAGCAAGTATGTCCTTAATTAATTTTAATGGTTGCGGTGGTAGACACTACCCGTTACACCCACTTTTGTGGTGTTATAAAAATTCACACGTATAACGACTATTTTAGTATTACGTAACAGCCGTAGCAATACTGTAATGGCCGTAACGGCCCATTACACACACTTATAATATTTTAAATAGTTTCATTTCCCATAAAAAATAAAAATAAAAATAAAAAAAACTTACAAAATACACATTATTATGCAATATTTAGTAATTCAAAAATAATTTTTGCTTATATCTCAATTTTTATTTTTATAATCATTTCATTTAACAATTATAAATATTTTTTATTTAGTTAATTCAAATATTGGTAAAAAATAATTTTATTGACATTTAAAATCGATTATTCTTAAAAAAATTAATAAAAATTAGAGGTAGAATATACATTTATGACATATAGTCATTAACTATTGAAATAAAATGTTAAAAGCCCCTTTCATAGTGATTTAAAAATATGAAATATATTGAATCATACTTAAAAATTAACAAAAATTGATCAAAATCTATTTTAAACCTCAATAAATTTGATTTTGAAAGGGGGAAAAATGCATATCGATAAGTTTTTTTAAAATTGTGTAAAAATATTTTTAAAAAAAATTACGGTTTCAGTTACCACAACCGTTACACTATAGCCTTTACACCCCGCAACCATGCCATCACAACGGTTACGGTGATCGCAACCGCTTTTTGAAACCTTGGATGTACTAACAATAAACGATCTATCTATCCTCCGCTACTGGACCACTGTCCCTCGCTTTATTGGACCTAGGTTTCCCCTAACCTGCAGTGCATAGCCTACCGTAGAAGAAGCAAGAACAAAAAGAATATCATTGTTTTTTATCTGGAAATTCTACAATTCACGATGTAGAAAACCCATGAGTCCGCAAGAAAGAAATTTTACTAGAAGTTTTATCAATCAAAGCAATAGTCAACTATAATTAATTAAAGGAAAATGCTAAAAAAAAACAGCTCTTAAGGTTGTAGTTAGTGTAGAAAAGGACTGTAAAAAGTATATTAAAGTGTATCGAAATGTGTAAAAAGTGTTTTGGGATATGTGAAAACTGTATTGAGATTATAAATATTTATGGCATTTTGTGGTGCTTCTTGACAGCCCTTAGGGCTGTCATTTGCAAGACCCTTAATGCTAATAGATAAAACTAAAGAGATTGAAAGATTAAAAAGGAAAAATACCTCATACCAAAATAAAACCTTTAAGCTGTACAATCTAGTAAAGTTGCTTCTGTAAAACAGAGAAAGGTCATTGCCACCACCTTCTGCTAATCTGTGGGCAGCCGCCCTAGCTTGATTTTACATGATCACCTTCATCGGTCACTTCCCTTCATATGTCAGCTGCAACTAGCAAAGTATTTCCCCTCATCGTGTAAAATTTGACTCCAGTAAGTTTGATTTTTGCCTTTCACATATTTTAACCAAACCAGACCCCCACACACAATAATTCCATGTCCTTCAGACAATCAAAGGAAGATGCAGTTGCATGCACTGCTGGCTCGCATAAAAATTTCACCCTCTCCAATACGGTTTAGCAAGACTGCAACTTAAATAGCCTCAAGTTACCAGCCATGGATGCAAGGGTTAACACATGCAACCAACTTGAATAGCCTCAAAGTTACCAACCATGGATGTGACAATGTGACCATTGACCAATAGTATGTGTTTCTGTGTGTTTTGAGCTCATGATTGTTCATCAGTCAGTGGCACACAAGGCCCGTGTTACATTCTTGATTGTTATCAGCCCATGGACTTATTTAAGTAAGGCAAGGAGCAGCATATTTTGATTCAGTCAAGGAGATAGGTCGATGGGATCGAAGTGAGGATGCTGTTGCGGTTGAGCAGTATTAGAAGACTGCAGCCTTCTCAAAAGCAACCAGGCATCAGAAGGAGAACAACCTTGGTTCATTTCAATAGCAATTGGAACAGGAGAGGCTTCACTTATCTGCATAAGCATCGTACCCTAGAACAAAAGTGATATTTACACATAACCAAAACTCCTTCAATCCAAAAGCTTATAAAAACCATTGCTTAAAGCATTGAGAATAACACCCTCAAATATTAAAATGCCATTCAGTTATTAGTGGAGCAAAAAGATCAGGTAATGACTGGAAGTTAGTAAAAGTGAACAATATATTACCTCAAAATTCGCTAAGAAAATTTGAAATTGTTTCATTATCTCCTTCATATCACTAACTCTCTTAGTGTCTGAAGAAGCAAGGGCAGTGGTAACTTCCTCAGGAGAATGACCTATTCCATTTTGCACAACCTGAAGAGTATGGCAGTTAGACAACATATTAACACGCTCATGTCATCAATGCACTTAAATGACTAAATCCAACTCAACTCACATTGTGATCTATGAGGATCTCGGAAATGAGGCTACCATCATCAACGTAAACATGAAGCTCATATGTAGCCCTTCGCTTAAATAGGAATCCCTTTACACCAGTCAAAAAGCACTACAAAGTTGCAATAGCAGGTCATATTTAATAATTATGAATAATTGGTTTCATGATTGATTCCACACTAACAAGATGGATAGAAAATTATTCTGAGTAGAATATTCTATTGTACAGTAGTGGAGTATGTAAGTCAGTTTTCAAAAAGATATTTTCAACTATATTGCACATTATAAAACATAGAACAGATAATAATGAGTATGACATTGAATACAATGGTATTCAAGTTGAATTGGTTTATTACATGTATGGAAGAGTGCAATATATTGTCTTTCCTTCATCTTTAAACAGTTAAACATAATTTCATCAAGTACTTTATTGCTAATCTATTTCTCGATTTGAAGGATGTATATTCAAGCTATAATAAAGGAAGATAACAAAGGCGGTGTTTGGCAACAATTTTTTTTTGGTTTTTTTTTTATTTTTTCCACTAAAAGACAAAGTTTTTGCAAAACCAAAAAAAACAAATCCAAACAAAATATCACATCAAACCCCAAAATCATTTCACTTTTTATCTCACAAACATCACATCCAACCACAAAAAAACCCAACTATCTTCCCAAATACAAAAAAAAAAAATTTCAACAATATCCTACAACTAAAAAAACCTACATAAAACCCACTTCCCAAACACCCACAAACTAAAGCCTATGCTAGTGTAGCAAGCCACATCATAGAAAATAACAGTAGTACCTCTTTGATGAAGCAAAAATTAGTTCAATATGAATGGTATATACTATTACAAAATTATTCATTCAGTGAATTTTTTTAAAAAATGTAGTCCATTTAAACCTTGTTATGATACACTTGCCATTTCAAACCTTTACATTGACAATGCATGATTTTGAACGACAACAAAATGACATGATGGGATCACAAACCATCTTTTATGTATACAGAGCAAATTATTGGTTACTGGACCATTTGTCATTATGGAATGACATGCTTTTAAAGGTCTTCCATCCCAAGTTGACTATGGGTAAGCCTATGCACTAGCAGGCATGCATTCATTTGATTTAGGATGATAGAATGGCAAAACAAGATCATATTTCAACTCCTAATTGTCGGGCCAAGGCTTTATTAAGCTGAATTTGTGCTATATTATTATGTTTTTAACACTCAGTGTTAGTTGTAAGGAGTTGGGATCACCTCTAAGGGAAAATACAAAATACACCCATACCTTAATTTTCCCCTGAACATTAGGAGCATTGTCCTTGACAGCAGCCCATTTTGCCGACAAACTAGCTAAGTAAGTGAAGGGAATTTCTCTGTCTCCACTTAGTATGAATGGGTGGTCCACCTCATCAACCATATGAATTTCTTCAATGTTCGAAACAGCTGTAGATGGTGGATTAGGTTCAGCATTTTCCCTATTGATGATGGGAACAGCAAACTCTTCTGTAGTCCTTTCCCTGATAGAGATACCAGATGCAGTACCTACAGTGTAAGGATGCAAGCCAAAATAAACCTCAAAGACAAAAAACAGAAAAATAACCTAAACAATATAATTTTAGTCAGGTTTTAATAAAATTTGTTGATGATACTCAACCTATACTTTTCTTACTTTTAGAAAATTGATGGGATATAGGATCTGAAGCCGGCAAACCATGTACGATATCATACCCTCAAACAGGCACATAAATCCATTGTCATAATATCTACACTATCTTATAAAAGCAACACCTTACTTGATGTCATGAGGCCTGCAGATTTTTTTCCTCAAATAACCTAAAAATTTAACAAATCATGTCATATTACAAAAGAATTGGGGCAAAAAAATAAAATAAAATGGTAATTAAGTAAAATTGTACCACCATTTTGTAACTGATAGAAAACACCCACATATCCCACATTGGTAACTTCTCATGTAAATGAGAAGTGAATAATTGATAATTCGTGTAGGTTTAGAGAAGAAAAAGGATTAGAGAATGATTGTGATATCATCCCTTTTTTATATTAATGAAGATTAATAATTACAAGGGAGCCCTAAGACATAGAATAATTGCAACCGAATAATAACCCAACTAATAATATATTATTCTAACACTCTCCCTCAAGCTGGTACAAAGACATCTCTCATACCCAGCTTGTCTAAGATGTCATGCAATGGCTTACTCCTAACTCCCTTGGTGAGGATGTCAGCGAGTTGTTCACCAAACTATACAAATGGAATACATATTGTGCACTAGTGAGTTTCTCTTTAATGAAGTGACGATCAATCTCAACATGCTTTGTCATGTCATGTTGAACCGAATTGTGAGCAATGTTGATGGCGGCATTATTATCACAGTATATCCGCATGGAGTCCGTCTGATCAATACCTAGATCACTCAACAATAACTTGATCCAGACGAGCTCACACACCCCTTGTGCCATAACTCTAAACTCAGATTATTCACTTGACCTGGCAACTACATTTTGTTTCTTACTCCTCCAAGTAACTAGGTTGCCGCCTACAAAAATGCAATACCCTGAAATCGATCTCCTATCAATTACTAATCCAGCCCAATTAGCATCTGTATAGGCTTCCGCACGAAGATGATCATGTTTTGAAAAATAAAGATCCTTACCAAAAGCAGACTTCAAGTACCTCAAAATTCTTATAACAGTCTCGATGTGAATCTAATGAGGAGCATGCATAAACTGGCTAACCATACTGACAGCAATAACAATATCAGGACGAGAGTGAGATAGGTAGATGAGTTTACCCACTAATCGCTGATAGCTCTCCCTATCAACAGCTGCTCCTCCATCATCTCCCAGTTTCTGATTGGGTTCCAGTAAAGTGTCACAGGCCTTACAGCCAAGCATCCCAATTTCCTTCAACAGGTCAAGCACATACTTCCTCTGTGAGATAAATATCCTATCCTTAGAGAGAGCAACTTCAATTCCCAGAAAATACTTCAAGTTTCCCAAGTCTTTGATTTCAAACTCACTTGCTAAATATTTTTTCAACAGAGGTATTTCTTCACTATCATCACCTGTAAGAACTATATCATCCACATAAACAATAAGCACTGTAGTCTTACCATGTGATGAATGTTTCACAAACAAGGTGTGATCTACGTGACTCTGTTTGAAACCATATTTAAGCATAGCCTAAGTGAATCTCTCAAACCAAGCCCTTGAAGACTGTTTGAGACCATATAATAACTTCCGAAGCCAGCATACTTTACCCTCTGTCTGATGATCCTCAAAACCAGGAGAAATATACATATATACCTCTTCTTCTAAATCACCATAGAGAAAGACATTCTTTACATCAAGCTAATGAAGTGGCCAATCTAGATTAGTTGCTAGAAAGAAAAGTATTCTGACTAAATTCATCTTAGCCACGGGTGCAAAGGTCTCCTGATAGTCAACGTCATATGTTTAAATAAACCCTTTTGCCACAAGTCTAGCCTTGTAATGCTCAATAGAACCATCCGCTTTGTGTTTCACAGTGTACACCCATTTGCATCCCGCAAGTTGTTTGCCCTTAGATAACTCAGTCAATTCCCAAGTGTGATTCTTCCTAAGTGCGATTCTTCCTAAGTGCTTTCATTTCCTCAATCATAGCAAGTTTCCACTCAGAGGTAGCAAGAACATTCTGAAAATGGTTAAGAATGCTAACAAAGGAAATATTTGACACAAAAGCTCCATACGAGGACGACAAATGAGAGCAGGACACAACTTTTAGAAAATTGATGGGATATAGGATCTGAAGCCGGCAAACCATGTACGATATCATACCCTCAAACAGGCACATAAATCCATTGTCATAATATCTACACTATCTTATAAAAGCAACACCTTACTTGATGTCATGAGGCCTGCAGATTTTTTTCCTCAAATAACCTAAAAATTTAACAAATCATGTCATATTACAAAAGAATTGGGGCAAAAAAATAAAATAAAATGGTAATTAAGTAAAATTGTACCACCATTTTGTAACTGATAGAAAACACCCACATATCCCACATTGGTAACTTCTCATGTAAATGAGAAGTGAATAATTGATAATTCGTGTAGGTTTAGAGAAGAAAAAGGATTAAGGAATGATTGTGATATCATCCCTTTTTTATATTAATGAAGATTAATAATTACAAGGGAGCCCTAAGGCATAGAATAATTACAACCGAATAATAATCCAACTAATAATATATTATTCTAACACTCTCCCTCAAGCTGGTACAAAGATATCTCTCATACCCAGCTTGCCTAAGATGTCATGCAATGGCTTACTCCTAACTCCCTTGGTGAGGATGTCAACGAGTTGTTCACCAAACTATATAATTGGAATACATATTGTGCACTAGTGAGTTTCTCCTTAATGAAGTGACGATCAATCTCAACATGCTTTGTCATGTCATGTTAAACCGGATTGTGAGCGATGTTGATGGCGGCATTATTATCACAGTATATCTGTATGGAGTCCGTCTGATCAATACCTAGATCACTCAACAATAATTTGATCCAAACGAGCTCACACACCCCTTGTGCCATCACTCTAAACTCAGATTATTTACTTGACCTGACAACCACATTTTGTTTCTTACTCCTCCAAGTAACTAAGTTGCCTCCTACAAAGGTGCAATACCCTGAAGTCGATCTCCTATCAGTTACTAATCTAGCCCAATTAGCATCTGTATAGGCTTCCGCACGAAGATGATCATGCTTTGAAAAATAAAGACCCTTACCAAAAGCAGACTTCAAGTACCTCAAAATTCTTATGACAGCCTCGATGTGAATCTAATGAGGAGCATGCATAAACTGGCTAACCACACTGACAGCAACAACAATATCAGGACGAGAGTGAGATAGGTAGATGAGTTTACCCACTAATCGCTGATAGCTCCCCCTATCAACAGCTGCTCCTCCATCATCTCCCAGTTTCTGATTGGGTTCCAGTAGAGTGTCACAGGCCTTACAGCCAAGCATCCCAATTTCCTTCAACAGGCCAAGCACATACTTCCTCTGTGAGATAAATATCCCATCCTTGGAGAGAGCAACTTCAATTTCCAGAAAATACTTCAAGTTTCCCAAGTCTTTGATTTCAAACTCACTTGCTAAATATTTTTTCAACAAAGGTATTTCTTCACTATCATCACCTATAAGAACTATATCATCCACATAAACAATAAGCACTGTAGTCTTACCATGTGATGAATGTTTCACAAACAAGGTGTGATCTACCTGACTCTGTTTGAAGTCATATTTAAGCATAGCCTGAGTGAATCTCTTAAACCATGCCCTTGGAGACTGTTTGAGACCATATAATGACTTCCGAAGCCAGCATACTTTACCCTCTGTCTGATGATCCTCAAAACCAGGAGAAATGTACATATATGCCTCTTCTTCTAAATCACTATAGAGAAAGGCATTCTTTACATCAAACTAATGAAGTGGAAAATCTAGATTAGCTGCTAGAGAGAGAAGTACTCTGACTGAATTCATCTTAGCCGTACTCTGACTGAATTCATCTTAACCACGGGTGCAAAGGTCTCCTGATAGTCAACGTCATATGTTTAAATAAACCCTTTTGCCACAAGTATAGCCTTGTAACGCTCAATAGAACCATCTGCTTTGTGTTTCACAGTGTACACCCATTTGCATCCCACAAGTTGTTTGCCTTTAGATAACTCAGTCAATTCCCAAGTGCGATTCTTCCTAAGTGCTTTCATTTCCTCAATCATGGCAAGTTTCCACTCAGAGGTAGCAAGAGGATCCTGAAAATGGTTAAGAATGCTAACAAAGGAAATATTTGACACAAAGGCTCTATACGAGGACGACAAATGAGAGTAGGACACAAAATTTGAGATAAGATGTTGAATACAAGATCTCACACCCTTTCTCTTGGCAATAGGAACATCAAGATCAATAAAAGTATCAAGATCAGAGATTCAAGGTTACCTGGACTCTCATCAAAAGCAGGAGGTGACAGTAGGTGAGCAGAAGTGGTCTCTTGTATCCAAACTTTTTGTCTGTCTTTGTCCCTAACATAAACTTGCCCTTTCCTATCCTTGGTGACATTGGGTTCTGTAGGTGGTGGTGCAAGAACTACTAGTTCCACTGTAGGAATCACTTCACACCAAGGCTCCTCCTAAAAGGAGGATTATGACATCGAAGAGGACAAGAAATAGGACCAGGACTCAAGAAGGTGACATCCATGGACACAAACCACTTACGAGAAGGAGGGTGACAACACTTATACCCCTTTTGAGTTGGAGAGTATCCAAGGAAAACACATTTGAGGGAGCGAGGGTCCAACTTACCACGAGTCGAAGAGTGATTGTAAACAAAACAAACACAGCCAAATATTTTGGGAGGAATAGAAAACAAAGACTCGAAACCTAGAAGGACTTGAAGGGGAGCTTGTTTTTACAATACCTAAATAGGAAGACGATTAATAAGATGGGTAGCAGTGAGAACAGCGTCGCCCCAATAAGACCGAGGCACCTCATAGAAAAACACATGCATCAAGCCATATCAAGAAGATGATAATTCTTGTGTTCCGCCACCCCATTTTGTTGAGGGGTATTGGTGCAAGAAGTCTGATGATAATGCCATCAGCAGAAAAATATCACCCTAACCCAAAATCTATATATTCACCCCCATTATCAAACCGGAATATTTTGACAGTGATCCCAAACTGAGTACAAATCATCTTATGAAAATTGCGGAACACAGAGAAAACCTCACTCGTCTTTCATGAGATACACCCAAGTAGTACGAGAAAAATCATCAATAAATGTAACAAACCAGCAATGACCTTTCACAGACCTAACACGAGATAGGCCCCAGATATCAGAATGTATTAATAAAAAAAAGAACTAAATTTTATTAAAACTAGGAGCAAAAGAAGCTCTGTATTGTTTTCCAAGTTGACAAGACTCACAAAGAAACTCAGACACATTATTGTTGGCAAAAATAGATGAAAATAAATGCTTAAGTAAATAAAAAGAAGAATGCCCAAGACACTAATACCACAACTATAAATCATATGTGGTAATAAGACTCGTGGTATAAAAATGAGCAAGCTTATTCGGTTGATCCAAGAAGTAGAGACCATTTTCTGCACTACCACTGTCAATCGTCCTCCTCGTGACAAGGTCCGAAAAAGACAATGATTAGGGAAAAAAGTCGCATTACAATTCAAATCCATTGTAATATAACTCAAGGATAAAAGGTTAACAGAAAATTTTGGAACATGGAGAACAGAAAAGAGAGGTATGGTAGGTGTGACATGAACTAAACCTTTCCTAAAAATAAAAGAAACAGTACCATCTTCAATCCTGACTTTGTCCTGACTTGAAGAGGGCATATAGGCAGAGAAAATGTCAGAGGATCCAGACATATGATCTAAGGCATCAGAATCAATAATGCAAGGCAAAGACTTATGAGAAAGGAAAACACGAGAAGAAAAGGTTAAGTTATCTGAGCGGGGCAAACAACGAGGAAGATGTATTGAGAGCAGTAGAAGACCGACAATCCAACAAGTGACGCAAAACATCCTCAAGCTTATGAGTAGTCATACCAAAGAGACCATCAGAAGCTTGGCCAACAGAAGTGGAAGTATAATCAAGTATATCAACAGTACTAGACTGATGAGCCCGTGCATGAGAGCCACGTCCTCTAGACTAACCTGACTGACCTCCTCTAGAACCAGACCGATCACCTTGACCCCCGGATGGAGTCCCATGAAGCTTCCAACACGTTTCACGGGTATGCCGTGGCTTGCGACAATAATCACAGAATACAAACTCCTTGGCGGTAGACGGAGGAGTAGGAGTTAGGCTGAGGCCATCTCTAGAGATAGACAATAATGCAGAGCGATCAGTAGAGACAGGTGACATCATAGCAAACCGGCGACTCTCCTCATTCTGTACATAGGCAAATGCCTCCTGAAGTAACAGAGTGTCCACACCCATAACTCGACTAAAAACCGGATCATACTCCACATTGAGACCTAACAAAAACTTGAAGGCCCTTTTCTATGCAATAAACTTCCTGTACCCGACTGAATCAGCAGTGCAAACAGGCTTATAGTCCTACAGGTGATCAAGGCGTTTCCAGCCATTAGTGAGGAAGGTGAAAGTACTGAAGAACAATCTGCTCCCCCTGAACAGAGCTCTCAATAGAGCGGTGCAACTCAAATGCCTGTGAGAAATTCCCTTTGTGAGAATAGGTGGCAGCCACAGCATCCCAAATATCATTGGCAGTCTCCATAGACAAGTAGCCCTCACCAATCTCTAGTACCATAGAATGAATAAGCCAACCCATAATCAAAAGGGTTGGTAATCTCCCATGGGTCATAACCTAAGTCAGTGGTGCTGGGTGCCTGTATCCTGCCATCAACATACCCCATCTTCCCTTTGCTTTTCAAAAAAATAATCAGACTCTACAACCACACTAGATAGTTCTAATCATTAAATAGAAAGGTGGTGATTTTAAGACTAGGGTTAGGGTTATCAGTCATAGTAATAGGTATAATGGAACTCTCACTCTGAGATGTCTGAGAAGTAGTGGAATCTGCCATGGATACTGTACTACCAAACCCTCAACAAAACTAGTGCCAATCACAAATCTAGAAGATGGAGAAATACAAGCACGATGACCACTAAGAAAATTAGAGAATTAAAAAATTCATCAGCCCATTTCTTTTCTCTTTTTTTTTTATACTGCATTTTTGTTCCCCTTTTTTTTTCCTTTGTGTTTTTTTTTTTTTAAAAAAAAAATTTGTATTTGAAAACAGAGATTAAGGGTACAGAATAGACTAAACAACAAGAGTGCAGGTCATCAGGTCATACCAGTCGATACAAAAGGAGTCAGACTGGGCAAGGAGTGGACCGGAAGTGTTCTACAACATTGCCAGGAGGGTCGACACACCTAGAAAAGTAATCTAGGGCTATCGACAGGCCCAAAGGAGAGCAGAGGGTGAGTCAGGAATCTGACCCAAGCACTGCTGGTGAACCGCAACCCCTAGAACGACATAGGTGTGGCCCGAAATCAGCCAAGGTAGGTCGGAAAAGGAACAAGAGGCACTAGCTGGGGTTAGGTGGACTGTAGGGATGGCAATTTGAACCCAACCCAACAGGGACCCAATCCCCTGACCCCGAATTGAGCGTTTTTTTCCCGAAAAATATCCCCGACGGGCCAGGAATGGTGATCAAAAATAAATCCCCGATGCTATTCGGGCCGAGGACGGTGATATATTTTTTAGCCCCGGCCCGTCCCCAACCCCGCCCCATTTAGCCCCCGATTTATATATATATGTATATATGTGTTTAAGTTTGGTGACCACTCTGTCAAACACAAACAGTCTCTCCTCTCTCTATCGCCTCCATCTCTATCGCCTCCCTCTCTCTCTCTCTCTCACGCACAACCGCCGCTCCTCTCTCTCGTCGGCGTCGGCTCCTCCATGTGTTTAGGGTTTGTTCTTCTGACCTGAAAATGCTGAAGATGAAGATGTTGATGAAGATGATGATGTTGTTGATGAAGGTTTTTTGCTTTTATGCTTGATGATGTTGTTGTTGTTGTTGCTGATGATGTTGATATTGTTGTTGATGAATGGTTGTATTTTCTGCAGATTTTTTTTTTTTGGTAGCCAGGAAATGTTCAAGGTCGGGGAAATCCGATCCCCGTTAGGGGACGGGGGTGGAGGCGGTGATAGGTTCCCCGTCGGGGATCGGGGCCGAGGACGGGGGAAATTTGACCATCGGGAATCGCGGACAAAGAGTGTGATCCTCGGCCCCGTCCCACCCCGTTGCCATTCCTAGTGGACTGTAGGGCTAACGACTGGGGTGGGTGATGGGAGAAGGTTGTCGGCTAAGGCAGGGGTGGCTAACAGAGAAAGAGGTGAGGCTAACAGAGAAAGAGGTGAGTAGGCTCTGATACCATATAGGTTTAGAGAAGAAAAAGAATTAGGGAATGATTGTGATATCATCCCCTTTTTATATTAATGAAAATTAATAATTACAAGGCAACCCTAAGACATAGAATAATTACAATCGAATAATAACCCAACTAATAATATACTATTCTAACAATTCGAAGATTCCCAACAAGTAAATGAGAGAGCCATTATGAACTCATAGGCTAGAAATCGTGCTAAATTACATATATGTTTCAATGCAGACTCCTCTCTCTAGCTTTTTTAATTGATGTGTTTGGGATTGGTTGAAAACCTAGGGAATTCTGGCATATGATGCTTTGTTCCACATTAAGGAATCAGATACCAACTTGGCTTCATGATTATGACAAGATTCAATCATTTTTTGCGATTCTTATTTACATTCAAGTATATATGTGCTCCCCTTATTATTTCCTAGTGCATATGCATCTTTTAAATACACTAGACCGTTCTTAGAAAAATGAGGAAATGTCAGATCCGGATGGTGTACATTAATATTTTTCAGCCACATTTCTTGATCCCAAATTACGGTTTCCTTTATTACTTTTGGATTTCTTTCTTTTGGGTTTGAATCGGTTTGTCTTGAAATTCATCTCTGATGAAAAAGGGCGTACCCAATGCACGAAACTCCCGCTTAAGCGGGGTCTGGGGAAAGGTTGATGTAAGCAGCCTTACCACCGCAAACGGAGAGACTATTTTCGCGACTCAAACCCGTGACCACCAAGTCACAAGGGGCAGCTTTACTGCTACGCCAAATTCAACCTTCAAATTCATCTCTGATTGTTTCACTTTGAATGTTGAAATTCTTTCATGAGTGCCTGCATTTTGAGTTGCATGCACATTGTTTGATAAAATGTTTCAAGCAAATAACATTGGGTATGCAATTTTGATTCATTTCATAGTCGTTTGATTGAATGGTACATGGGCGTGTATTTATTACTTTTTGAGTCATAAGATTCATAGCTACCTTTGAAAACACTCTCTCACTATGTGATTAAGCTTATATTTATGTGTTTAACAAAACTGAGTGTTGGAATGCCCCCTCTTGTTTGTCACACACACACGTGCATGCAAGTATCCCTGCCTTTATGCACGTGTCTGCATCAAGGGCATTAGTTATGTCCCACATAGGATTCAAAGTGTGATCATCTTTAATTTAAGTAAACATGGCATTTCACTGCATGACTTATCTAGCAGGTTAAAGAGTCTAAAAATCATCGTGCTAGCATTACCACACGACTCACAGCCTTGACTATGCATAGAAATGCTTCCATCTCTAAAGCTGATTTAACTTCAGGTAAGTTATGTTAGCCAGGAACAAAAAGACATACCTTGTTCAGCTGCCTGAAGAGGAGCTGCAGGTTGTGACGAGGAAGCATTGGTGGCCCCTGGAACACTCACACTGTCTGGCGGCCATGCAGCAAGAGTAGCTCTGGTTGCTAAAGGAGGAACCACTCCTGTCCTGGTTCTAGTAAAGGGTAAATGAAGGTTAATTTTTTTTGTCTATAAAGAAGTGATCAACAGTTTGATATTAACTAAACCGTAAGTTTTATGGATTATATCAAGTCATCAAACCAGTTGTAGTCATGTACACTTGCAGGAAATAGATTAGCAATGACTTAAGACCTCTCCTCTACACACTACCAACAGTATACTTACAGTTCTTTTGAGTCTAGAAAACGGAGACTATATAATGAAATCATTAAGGTAGCGTTTGATAGAGTTTTAGAATTATGATTTGAGAATAGAGTTGTATTTTGAGTTTGTGAGTTTTGGAATTATGATTTGAGTGTGGAAAATTTGTTTGGTTATGAGTTTGGAAAAGAGTTTTGAATTGAGTTTGAAATTTTTGATGTGACATGTATTTGATTCAAAAACTTACAACTCATAACCAAACACACAACCCAAAATTCTATTCAAATCTCATAAAAAGTTTTAAAAAAATTCTGAAAATATTTTTTATTTAAAATATAAAAATAATAGGTGCTAAAAAAAAACCAACACTTTTCCGGTCAACCGGCCGGACGTCCGGGAGGATGACCGGGAAGACATGTTTTCAACTGTGGGTGTGGAACCAATTTTTGAAAGCTCTCACCAAACACCACATTCAAACTAAGGGGTGGAATTAAATTTACAAAGCTCTACCAAACAGAGCCTAATACTCCTAGTGACCTTCCTCAGTGATATCATGATATGCTAATTTTTCCACCCAGCATGGAAAGCAAGGTGGATCCAATGATATGATTTCATGAACCAAAAAACACATTCCTCGCGTAAAAGAAAATTAAATGAATATGGTAATCTGTTTACTCATAAAAAACTAACCAATACACCTTTTTATTGTGTAATATTTCCAATCTTCAAAAACCATTAAAGAGAGAGATGTTAAAGCAAAAGACGATCATGTACTTATGTTTCAGTAGCATATTCAACTTAAATCAAAGGAGAGTAAAATTGGCTGATGGAACATGGAAAGTGGTATGATTCTGGATTTGCAATTTCGGTAAATATGTTTTTGGCTCTCACAGATACCTTTTTCCCCTTGGTGGCTTATTTACTTCTTGAACAAGCCTCTGCCTTGCTGCTTCCAAATCCTCAACCAGTCCTCCTAAAACTTCAAGAACTTCAGGAACCAACATTAGAAGCCCACGCCTTATATGTACATTGGAAATTGCAACCTACAACACGAAATTGTGTCAAGCGAAGTACTAGATGCTCATAATTGCATACTGAGTGGTTGGACAACAATTAAGGGGTAACACACCAGAAGTAAACTTGATTGCATCAGACTCCAATTTTGTTTTTGTTTCACATTATTGACAAATTGACAAGTGCTCACATTAAAAAAAAAAAAAAAATTAGGCACTTGAACCTATTTCACTGCTTGTTACGAATCAAGATGCCTTATTGGACACCTTATGTATATGTTTCAGGTACTTGCACACCCAAGTCAAAAATGGCTAGCAAGATTTTTTTTTTTTTTTTGATAAGTAATAATGGCTAGCAAGATTGATGCAAGACCGTCAACTCCTCCAAACTTCGATAACATATTCTCTTTCTTTACTTTACAACAAATTAAAAATACTAGACAGAAGTGATTTATTTTAGTCAACATTTTGGTACAAGGAGGAATTATAGTATTTTTAACATCAAAGACAAACCACTATTTGGCAAGTATAAATGTGAAACCCTCATAGCTAAATTTTTCCAATTGGGTGGTCTCTGAAAATGGAAAGGAGATAAAAAGAGATTTTTCAAAAAGAACCAAACTAATAACCAACTAGTTGAGACCTCTCTCAAAGTTATTCATACCAGACTAGTAATCAAATAGAAGATAAACAAAAAAAAATTCAAAAATAACCTTCAGCCCAGCAGGTGCCAGAACTTCAAGATCCTTGATAGGCCGGTATTCCATGCCGAACACACGTTGAACACCATCAGTCATGGACAACTTAAGGCATCTCTTGGGCCCAGAAGCTGCACTCTGATACCTACCTTTCAGAGGACAACTGATATTTATAATTTCATCAACCTGGAAAGTTGGCATTCAATGTGAGCTGAAATATGAAAATAAAACAAAATTTTAAAAAGGAAAACGATATTAAGTCTGAACATATGGTCTGACTGAGCAAACTGACTGATGTGACATAAAAAAGTTGATTTTCCACGTAATAAGAGAGACCCCATGTGAGCCACATCAATAATGCAACTAAAATGAGCAATAGAAAACAACCTGCCCTGAACATATTACAAATGGAAGTCATGTTCGAAGTTTGTTTCCCATGGTGGGTAAATTACTATTCTCAACCTCCATCTTTTGCAAAAATAAAAGTAAAAATTTGAGGATTATAACTTATAAGACCAATATGTGAACAGTAAGGGATATTAAAGTTCTGCATTCCATGTGACATTGTTCTGTCCTCACTTATAAGTAACTAGATCCAATGGAGGGATTATTTCCTGCGAGGAAATTTTTCAGGAATCTGGGCGTGGTATACAGAGGTGGCGGTAATCGAACTTGTTAATGTTAGATAGAGGGTATGTAGATGTTCATGATTTGGGGTTTTGGTGGTAATAAGATTATGGCGGTTCTTTTCATAAAAATGCACTTGAGTTTGAGAGGGATTTTCCAATGGTTGTGATGAGGATCAGATGACGGTTAAGGTGGTCAGACAAAGGTCTTCAATTCGGGTGTAGGTGATCTCATGCTTAAATTGAGTGTAGGTGATTTTATCTTAGTGTTATACAGGGGGCAAATAGTTGTGTCTTTGATGGTTATTGATTCAGCTGTGGATGACCGAAGGTTGCCATTGAGGTTGTGGCAGCTCTAAGAGGAGAGAGAAAGGTTGTCATTGCAATTGCAATAGCTACAGCTACCCAAGGAGAGAAGAAGGCACAGGCCTAAATCAGTTTCCATTTTATTTCTCAAAAGCATTGCAAGTCTGTTTGGGAAAAAAGCAACAGTCAATGTGGTGAGCCTGATTATGCTGATTTGGATTTGTTAAGCAGCTACATGGTTCAGACTAGAAATTTGAACTAGGAAAATCTCCACTCCTTTACTCAAAAGTACATCAAATTCACTCAAAAAACCCTCACTCCTTGACTCAACCTTATACCAAATTGAGTTTTACCCATTTTTTTACCAAAACCGAGTAAGACTCAAATGTTTACTCGAAGTTTTCTATACCATCTTATGGTTTTCAAATTTACAACTCTGCCGTTACTGGAACGTTTACTCAAATTTATCCTTAAATTTGAGTTTGTCCATTGGAATGTTTTGTTTTGCAATAACGTGGTTTCAATCACACAATAAAACAATAACAAAAGAACAAGGACACACAGAAAACACGGGATATACATCGATAGGTGAGATGCCTACTTCCATGGTGGAGAAACAATCAAAATCTACTATTCGCAATAAATATTACTAGAAACAACTCCGCAAATCTCTTTTCTCCGTTACACTCTAAAACCCTACCCAAAAATAACAATATATACCATCAAATCTTCAGCCCCCATACAATATAAATATTATGACTGTGTAGTAAATACAAGACACCTCACAACAACATGCTTCATATCTAATGAAGCTTTTAATTGAATTTTTACTCAAATTGTATACCACTACTCATTTAAAAAGAGCCTAATGATAATTTTAATTAATAAATAATATCCAATCCATAAACAAGATGATAATAATAACCCATAACAATAAAATTGATCACTAGCTCATGAAAAAACATACCTGCAAGACAAAAGGGCCAGCAAGATCGACAAGATTCATATTATGCACATTTTCAGGAAGAACTCCTCCACCAGAATAATTCATATCAGATAACAAGAATTGCTTGAAACAGAGCTTCGCCTTGGCCGCCAAATCGAGGCTTGCGAAACCCGGGACCGATCTCTCTAGGCCCTGAATACAAGAATCCACCCATTCCCTTCGCAGTCTCAGCCCAAGCCTGTGAAGAAACGCACTGATGGGACAATCAGAGGATTCCGAAGAACTAGCACTGCTAATTCTGGACTCGGCCGATGATTGAAAGAACTGGTCGTTAACTGGAGGGCGTGGCGGCGGAGGAGAGAGGCTTTCGTGAACGTCGACGAAGTCATCATCGGAGATTTCGAGATGAGCAGGGAGAGAAATGTTGGAATTAGGGTTAGGGTTTAGGGTTACGGTTTCGAGATTGAGTGTTGGATCTTGTAGTTCTAGCTCGATATGTTCATCTTCGTGATCTTCTTGGATTTGTTGGTGGTGTGGTTGATAACGATATTGTTGTTGTTGTTCGTCTTCGGAGGAAGAGGAACAGTGCAGTGTGAGTCGTCTTCTCGGCATTTTCTCTCTATTTCTCTCACGCTGCTGCTGATTTTCCCTCCATTTTTCTTCTTTTCATGCTTTTCGAACATGAAGGGAGCCTATTTTGGGAAGTAGGGGAAACAAATATACATTTTTACTTTTTTTTAAAAAGGTATGGCTTTTGTCCAGTCTCGGATCAGACTGGACCGTGTTGTTAGGTCCGTGAAGGTCCATCACAGATCTCATTTTGATAATTTGAACTGTTTAATGTATAAAAATTGTCGAGTACTATATGTCTGTAAAAAATCATATTGATCGGATATCAATAGCTATATGATCAAATCAGTTTCGTATTAAAAAAATTGGACGGTGAACAAATTAACGGTTGACAAAAAACTGTTTTAATCACATAGCTATCGATATCCGATTAACGTGATTTTTTCAAAATATATAGTCCTCGACGATTTCTATACATTGAACGGTTCAGATTATCAAAACGGAACCCATGGTGGGCCTCCACGGGCCCAACAACACAATCCAATCTGATCCCAGACTGGACAGAAGCCATACCCTTTAAAAAAATATTGGATAAAAAATTAGAAAAGTGATTTGATAAGTCTAAAGAGTGATATAGGATTATTTTGGGAAATTGGTAAAAAGTGATTTTTTTGCTTTTAATCAAGTTTTTTTGTTTTTTCAAAAAATCATTTGGGAATGTGGTAAAAAGTAACTTTTTATTTTTTTAGTTAATAATTTTTAATGTTGTCATATCATCATGGCATAATATAAAATTACCAAAATACTCTATTCCCATTTGTAATTTACAGAATTTCACCTACTCTTTGCAATGCTCCTTAACTGAATAAAATGACTTGTGCATGGCATTCTTGTAAATTGCAATTCTGCGTTTATCCAACTTCCCAAATGGGTTTTAGGAGCAAAGAAGTCACTCTGACTTTTTCATCAAATGCCCAAACGCGCCTACAAACCACGTTGCCAAAACAAGCCATGGTCTAATTAATAGGTGGAAAAAAAAAATAGTGCACTCCATAATTAGACTCCTGAGAGATCTTGGAAGTATTATAGTCACAAAGTCCATATTTCATTTACTATGTTGGACTTTTAGTTTCATAGGATTTAGACTTTTTGACTCTTTGAATTTTTGTATCTTTTTTTATTAGCCTTGAAGATTCACTCCATCATCCAAGTATCCATATGTCTACAACAACATACTCAGAAGAAAAAGACAAAATCTGTAGAAGATAAAGCCTCTCTTCAACGATCAACAAAATTCACACCAAAAAATGATAACGGCTACTGTAATTACTTGTGTTTGTAATTATTTGCGTCTGTCAGTAGTAAGGCGTCTCCTTCACACGCTACTTTAATAGAGCATGTGACCCCTACCCTACTCCATTAAAGAAAAACTGTGAGAATCTTTATACATGTTTTGTAACAAATTATGGTGTCGAAATTTTATTAAGATGGAAGGATTGAATGATGTGCGATAGGGCCCAAAGCAGTACCCGACATTATTATTCTAACCCTTTATTGATATAAATTTTAATTGTTTGTGTCTAGAGTAATAGGAAGTTGGTCATAAAAGGTGTCAAAGTCCTTGTACTTACTATGTAGAAATTTTGTAAAGCCTATAACTAGGCTTGATTAGACTTTTAGACTTTTTTGTTCAAAAATTAGACGTAAGGATAAGTCTTTGGTTTTTGTTTGTATTCGTCAAATGTATTGTATAAATTGGCATTCATGCTAACGGATGAAACAAAAAACATTCTCTCCACTCTTCCTTGCAAAAAAATTTCCAACTTCTCAAACCTCCATCTAAAATTTTCTAAGTGTTCAAGTCTTTCAGAATCTCGAAGTCTGTAACATAATCTTTGTAAGTATATTATATATTAATATGAAGTGTGAGTAGTCTCTCTTTTTCCTTAGATATTTCAAAAGGGTAACTTTTATGTTCTAAAATTTATTTTCTTTTTGGAAAAACTAAGTTTATGGAATGCTTGTTTGCTCATTAATATTACATGCTTTGAACCTGTATAGTATCTATTGTTTTCTATTTCATTACTGAGTAACCTTAGCTGAAGAACCCGAGTGAGCCATGGTTAGGCATTGAGAGTAAATTGTTGGCAGGAAGGGAAAGGTAAGAAATAGAAAATAAAAATATACTATGTTAAACGAGACTTAGCTTCAAGGTGGGAGTACATGTAATGAAAGCAAACATTGTTTAAAAATAGTTTTACTAAATAAGAAAAAGAATTTAGAATATAAGGAGAGCAACCTGAGTAAAAATATCAAGAAAATATTTTTCGTATAAGAATTTTAAAATCAAAATTTTATGCTTTTAGAATAAGAACTTAGAATTAAAATCAGATCCAGTACTAAGCTTATACAAAAATTAGAAGATCAAAAACTAAGATATCAACTTTTCTTATCATTAGCCTCCGGTAAATCTCCAATACATTATAGTTTGAAAATTATACAAATAAATAGACAGATAACTATCAAGAATAAGCCTTGCGACCAGCCATACAGCAGCTTGAGGATTTATTAGCATAATTGTAGAATTAATTAGATAATTCTCAGCCTAACTTGAAAATAGTGGTAAACCACTAACTCACCCCAAAAAATTGGTATCAGAGTAGCGTTCGGTTTTATGACAGTTTAAGTTAGTTTATGCATGTTGCTTACAGAAATATAGTAGTTTTTATTTTCAAACAATTTAGTTATAAATTTCATATTATAGTAACGTTTAATAAATTTAAAGTATAATTTAATTTTGTACATGAAAAGAGTATAATACTTAGATTTAGAACTCAATAATTATAACTATCACCTCAATATAAAATAAAAATAAATTTCGTTGTAATTTTGAAGGTACTTTTACATATCAACTCCATAACGAACATAATTCTTAGCTAAATAGTATTATAAAACATCAAATTAATTTTAGGGGTGAAGTACCAATGAATCTTATGAACTATTTAATTCTCTCTTCGTTTCTTATATACTCAAAAGTCTTATTTCAGTGTAAATTACATAAAGGGACAAGTATAAACACGCATGTGTAATGTGTTGAGAGATAAATATGGATTTTCTCATAATATTAAAATTACTAATCGTAATACTTAAAAAAAATTGATTTGTGTACTTTTCCAAATGTAACCCTCCAAAAATGTAACATTCCAATCAATGTAACACACAAAAACTCTTTAATATATTTTTTACAAACGTAACACTTTAATGTAACACATTAAAAAATTATTTACTGTACTTTTCTCAAACGTAACAACATAATATTCTTAAAAAAACGTGTGTTAAACATATATAAATTATATTTCATTCATATTTTATTTATTTTTAGATTTCTCTCTAAATTTATAAATCAAATATAGTCTTGATAAATAATCCAATTTTCCCAATGGGCTTACTCCATTTTGGGCTTCGAAATTTTTATTTTTCATTCTTTATGGGTGTTTGGAGGGAAAAATTGGGCTTATGTTTGGAGGGAAGGTGTTTTGGTGAAAAACTCAATTCCCCTACTTGTTTAGACTAGCAATGGCTACATGTCAGGTTTAGGGTAGAGGTGGGTTAGAATGAGATAGAGAAAGCAAAATTTATCTTCGCCTTATTTGTAACGTCCAAAAATAATTACTATAACTCATACTCAACATCAAAAAGTGATTACAATGACAAACTAGTTATCTTTCATTGATTTACAATCAAGTTTTAAGAAATAGTGATATACTAGAAAGACAAGATGAAAGTTAGAAAAATAAGAAATGTTACAAAGGCTTACATATTTCCAAGACAATGCTTGGTTACAACAAAAGTAGACTTAAGTCTAATATAGTTAAAGCCCTTGGTGTATAAAAGTAAATATTAAAAAGAAACTCTCACTCCAAGTCCTCCTAAGCTATTGTCTTAGCAGAGGTATATCATCAGCTCTTGAAATGTTTTTTCCACTTGAGTGAGCCAAAACCCAGTAGAAATAATCCATCACAATATATGAATCTTAATAAAGATATAAGGTGAATGCATATACAATGCCCGTGCCAAAACATTTTTATATCTCTTTCCTAAACTATGCAATGCCATAATAATATTATAAATCAATTCCTTTGGAATAAAGAGATAGGGCAGTGAATCACACTCTGGGAATTTCAAAAAAATACAACCTTCCCCGGAAGTTTTGTCCGGAGGAAATCGTAAACCGAGACCCACGTAAACATAGGCTATATAAGCACTACTATTGTCATTTCACGAAAATTTCGTCAATGGGATCGGCACCCATGTATACATGCAGTTTTCAGGACTTTCACCATTGATACTCAGGCCAACTTATTTCAACATTACAATACATGCTTCTCAAATTCACCCTTGTTTCTTAAAACGATAAACATTTCCAATGTGTAAGCGCGAGATAATGCTCAATACAAATGAATGAGGAAATAGTTTCAATTCTCCTAATTCACGTGCAATTTGTACAACACTCATAAATTATCCTCCACCGATAGCCCAAAACATATATTAATAAATAAATAAACAATTATCAATAAAGATAAACTCTCTAAATTTTCAAGAGTTGAGTGATATTACATATCTAACTCCACCATCCTCATCAACCTCAATCCAATTTCACAATTTCAATTTCAATATCAATCTCATAATTTATATAAAATCAACATTTGAGGCATTTAGGGCAAAATCCATTTTCTCTCCAAAATCAATCCCAAATATCAAAATCAGTCATTTATTCCCAGCTTAACATTATTTTGCATATCAAAATCATTTTTAAGGATCCATTTGAAAAACTGCTCGTTTGGTTTTTACCTAAAACCCTAGATTTGTTCAAAATCTTCCAAAATCGCAATATGGTTTTGAAATAATAAATAACTAAGTTAAAACTTATAAAAAGTATGGAAAATATCCCCACCTCAAGCTAGAACATGAGAGAGAGAGAGAGTGTGAGGGAAACCCAAAGACACCAAAAACCAACTTTGCTCCGTTTAGAACGAAGCCCTTGTCGAGCTCTATCTTTTTAACAAAGGCACACGGGTGGAAAGATCGACGGATTTAGGTGTATTTGAGAGAAATATGTGAGTTTTTGAGAGACAAAGTGAGATAAAATAGGGTTTTGAAATGTTGAGAGAGCGAGAGAGAGATGTGAAAAAATGACTCTGAAAAGTGATTTTACGAACTGACATACGCATGGTTTGCCCGAGTGCAAAATGTGTTGCTCGAGCGACCAGACACAATAAGTTGCACCGCTCGAGCGCAAGAAAGTTAGCTCGAGCGCATAATATGAACTCCTAGTAGTTTTACAGGCAGAAGATTGTCGTTTGAGCGCAAGAAGTTTCGCTCAAACGAAGAATACAAACTCCAAATATTTCTGTAGACCTACAAAAGTACTGGAGATTCACAAAGTACGCTCAAGTGCAAGAACTGTCGCTCAAGCGTAGGAACAAAATTCTGGGCAATAACCGTTTGAAAAGCAAGCTACCAATTTGTTCCAAACACAACTAAACACAGCTCAAAAGCCAAACTCAAAGAAAAATAAGGGAAAACAAGACGAGAACGGCAATACAAAACAATAAACCTGGATCTAAAACATCAAATGGGTCGTGTCTAAATCAAAATCGCTATATTATTTCTTCATTGGGGTGGTAAAAACTCATGTGGACTGGAACAAGGAATGCAGGTAGAGTGAAGCGAGAGAAAATGACTATCCATACAATTGTCACTATTTTGGCCTTATATTTTGGTTCTCACCATTTTGGGCTTATCTTTAGTTCAAAAATACTAATTTTTAGTGAAATCTCGATAAATTTGAATTTTTAATTTTAGCTAATTTAATAAATGAGAAAGATGGATTAAATTTTAAAAAATTATTTAATTGTTAATTACTGAAATCTTAGCGACTAGCATTTTTATGGACATTTTTTTAAGACAAAGAAGCTTGACAAAATATCAAGTTTTAAGAGCATCTATAATTTTTAAATTATTTTCATCCAAATTTAATGAAAAAATACTTAAAAATTTTCTCAAATCCTCTTATTAGATGTTTATCAAACCAATAGATAAATATTTTTTACACCAAATTAAAAATTTATCGAATCTTTTATTCATTGGAATTTGATGGTTTTTTCAAAATATGAAGCACAACACAAAATTCAGCCACAACATAAAAAAAAGAAGAAGAAGGAATAGTAAATTGCATCAAAAAAGAAATAAATCCCAATTAAATAAAGGTGGAACGTGAAACTCTCTCTAAATCATGGTACCACATAGGATTGAGTAAAATACTATCAAATTTGTTAAAATGCACCGATCTGTATTAATCTATATCGTTCTATTTGTTAACCATGAATTAAATTTTAAATTTTAAATTTTTTAATCCTTTTTCGAAACAGTTCTATTTCGATATAGTTAATACATATATATTCTTTAATCTCTCATGAAATATGAAAATAAAAACGAGTGTGAGAGAGATTTAAGATGTGAAATTTGTTACAAATTAGTAATTATATACATGAAAAATATTATGTAAAGTTAGTTTGTGTTTTATAAATGGAAAATATTATACAAATTATAAATATATATTATGTAAATACTTGATAATTGATTGGAATATTTTTCAACCCACCAATCCGTTAAAAACCACCAAAACCGCAATTTATTCGATTTATAATTTACTTTCAAACCGTGCAAACCGCACTACGCACATCTCTAGTTACTCATCTTAAAAAATGCAATTATTGATACAGATTAATCAAGAGTGAGGTTATCAGATCAAATTCAAATTAAATTTAATTTGTAATTTAAGACGATGATGAAATTGTGTGGTTGAATAGTGCAGCGAGTTTCATCAATTTTCCAACAAATTTTGATTAATGTCGCTAGTGTTAGTGTTGATATTAACTGGTGTTTTGGGAAGATAGTAAAAAATTGGGTTTTTTTTGCTTTTTGGCTTTATTTGTTTTTTTTTTTTTGTATAAAAAAGTAGAGGGGTGATGTGATTCGAAAAAAACTAAAAAAATCTAAAAAACTAATCTTCCCAAATTGCCCCTAATTAATGAAATATTTAGTCTTCTTATGAAATGATGAAAAAAGCTAGTTTATTAACTTATTTAGGTCATATTACTTCCTTATTTTTTGCATATATATATATACATATATTTTTTTTATAGTAAGCCAATAAATAGGTTTGTAGGGTCGGATTGTTTAGTTAATAAGTAGCTATCTTGTTCACTGTGCATACACTTATTAAATGAGTGCCGCTATTAACACCTGCTTTTTGCTTTGGCCCTCCGATTTCTTTGAACTCCCACCCAGCAAAATAAGTCATCTTCGTTTTGTCTTTGAACCACCACCTTAATACTAACTATAACCCTAACTCCAAACCTAGCCTCCATTCTCAACCATCATCTCCGACAGCCAATCCACAACCCACTCACTAGCGACTTCCTCCATTCCATATTTGACTAATGTGAGCTTTATTCTTCTTCGTTTTTTTTTTCTTCCACTTGTCGCCGCAAGAGAACCTACTCGTTTACATAGTTTTTGAGATTGAGAAGGATGTCAGGATTGTAGAGATTGATGGTGAGGAATTGCTCTACCGTGAACGACGTTGCCAATTGTTGCTGCTTTTGAGCCATCCCTCTCTATATTTCCATTGTATAGATATAGATTGATATATATATATATATATATGGATATATAGCTAACCTTTGTATATATAGAAAACCCCTTATTAATGGAGACATATAAAGCGTAACTGTAACATTGAGAGAGAGAAAAAGATTCTTGATTCTGGTTTTCTTAGCTATAGATTGATATATATATATATATGTATGTATCTATATAGCTAACCTTTGTATATAGAAATCCCTTGTCAATGGAGACCCAAAGAGAGTATAACTGTAAGATTAAGAGAAAGAGAGAGAGAGATTCCTGATTTTGACCTTCTTAAAGTTGGTTCTTCGGGTGAGAAAGGAGGAGAGAGTGCTGCCAAAGTGATATAATGGCTAGGGTTAAGGTTTGGGAAGTTTGGATTAGATGATTAGGGATGGGAGTAAAAATGGAATTTCATGTGTTGGGCGAAATTGGAATTAAAAAAAATAAAAGAAATGGAAGGTCCAAAGAATAAATATAAGTGTTAATAACAGCCTTCTTACTAAATTTAGTCAGACATTTACAATTTTAATAGGACCTACTTTTAACATTTGTATACTTTAACGAAAATTTTTATTATTGTCACGACCCAAACCCGCCCTTGTAGGTTTAGCGCCGTAACCGGCCAGTAATCCTTAGATTACCAAAGGCCTCTTAACAAACTAACATATAATTAGGGGCTGTGGAAGCAAATAGCAATTACACAACATCTATTGAGCTATGCAGACTTATACGAGACAAAAAAAAATTAATTTTATTTGCATACATGTACACATCATATATATATATATATATATATACATATTCTAGCTAGACAAAAAGGGACTTAGCCCTATTTACAAAATACACAAAGACGTTGGTTGTCAAAAACTGATTCCAGACGCCTCTAAGCTTGGTCACGCCCTGATCACCTACATACATATATATAAACAATGAGCTGGCGCCCAGTGAATAATAACAGAGTAAAAGGTTTAATGAATGATATCCATCACAGAGTTAGAAATCAGATTCTTATCAAAATAGAGTCTTATGCATATTCAGATTCCAAATCAGGAACAGATTCATATACATATTCATAATCATTTTCATATTCACATTTTGCATATAATCATATGTGATACATCCATTAGAGTTAACAAGTCCGATGACCCATAAAGGGACGGCCTTGAAGGCATTCCGATGACTCATGTGCACAGAGATGTTTCTGATGATCCATAAAGGGACCTGATGACCCATAGAGGGACTTGATGACCCATAAAGGGATGCATATTATATGATGCTAAGGATGCCACAAATGCATTTCAGAATCTTGGACAATCATTCGTTCATTTCAAACATAGCGTAGCATTTCAGAAAACTAATCATTTCACATCATAATGTTCATAAAATATATATAACATTGAACATAACTTTACAAAGTTATTACTCACAGATAGTTGTAGAAGCAGATCAGACATATCACAAATCAGACAGACAATGGCGCGTGACCTACACAAACATGTAACATATACACATCGAAACACAATATCAATTCCTTGATCAAGCTTGACTTTTCTTGTCTTTTTATTTCTAAGGCCTCGTTTGGCAAGAGGCTATTTTAGTTAATTAGTCAAAAAGTTACTAAATTAGTCAAAAAGCCAACAACCCATATCAAAAAGTCAAAGATTCTCTTTTCTCTCTACTTTTTGCACATCTTTTCGTAATTAGCCAAAAAGTCATCCCAAACATACAAGTTTTTTTTACCTACCTTTTTAGCCAAATAGCTAAAAAATTACTAAATTAGCCTGTTCCCAAACGAGGCCTAAGTAGCCCAATATTCTACTACGTGTATTCTTCCTTTATTCCAATGAATCAGATTTTTATTTCACATATCCTTTCATTACTAAATCATTCTTTTATGAATAAACCAATTCTTACTTGACTTCTTAATCAAGTATTACTAAGTTAATGACTTATTCTTTTAATCAACTAATTAATGTTGATTGTTAGCATATTACTCTTTATTAAGCCATAAATCATGTATAGAATGCTTTGGAAAGAGATGATAATAAAAATGTGAACTAAATGTAATTTTCCAAAATATGCTGAAAATAGGGTCTTCGCTCGAGCGCCACTTTGGTCGCTCGAGCGGACTGTAAAATTTGAAAAACTTCTAAGAGCTCGATTTTCACGCTCGAGTGAGACTTTCCTCGCTCGAACGGACAGTGTGAACTCTGGAATTTCCAAAATTGTCATTGAAGTTCAAATTTGATATTCAAAGCCTCAAAACATGTATTTTTTGTACACAAAAATAGAGAACCATTGTATAATTTAGTAAACACTCTCAATTAGAAATCATTTATTCAAAATCATGCTCCAATTGTCCAAATTTAGTTTTAACTCATTTTCTCCCTATCAAGTCCAATTTCAAACCCACAAATTTTAAAACATGAATTAGACTCCGAAAACTCTTGCAAATTCATGATGTATGTGCAATTGAAACTCAATTTCATGTAAGACAAATAAATCAAAACCCAAAATGGTTATTTCCAAATTAACTTCTATAATATTGAATCTATTCAATTTTTTCACCCTTTCACTAATTCCTTTTAATTTACGTGAAATTGAAGTTATTTGACTCTTAGGAAAGTATTTGTACGTATGAAATTAAGATTAAAACTAACTAATTTTCTATATTCAAAATCAAATTATAATTTAATTCTTGATTTAGCCAAATTTAGATTTAATTAATTTTCTTCATATCACACCCAAAACTTAATTTATAATCATAGATGTTCCATAACATATATTTAAATTTTGAATAAACTCTTTCATTATATTGCATGCATGGGTTGGGGATCAAAATCGAATCAATGTCTAATTTTCCATAAATTGAACATAACTCCATTTATTCATCATTTTGTTAACTTCTTCTATTTACATGAAATTGAACTCAAGTTAACAAATTTAAGAAATCATAATTCATACTCTTGGTCCTAACTTGATTTTACATGCGAACACAAATTTTAACAATTTATAATTGATCTACAAAATTTTATTTTTAATTCCCTAAAAATTCATCTTGAATCACTTTTTTGTTTAAATTAATTAAACAATACCCAAAAATAATGAAATTCCTTACCTCATAATAAATTTTTCATAATTTTTAGCTTGAGTTTTGATAACCGCCGAGGCTTTCTCCTTTCCTTTTCTTCCTTCCCCTTGGTTTCTCAGCCGTGCTCTCCTCCCTCTTTCCTTTTTCCCTCTTTCTTTCTCTAATCTGATTCCAGCAGGTTGAAGCTCCTAAGACTTCATTCTTCATCTTTTATTTTATTATTTTCTTTACCAATTTAGTGGGACACTTGGCTTTATAACATAAATCCATGCGGTGGTGTATTTATTGTTTCCTTAACTAATTAATCTTGCTTAGAATACTTAATTAAGATTGAACTTTAATTATAATTAGCTTAATTAAACAACTCTTAATTTAATTAGTTGTGTAAAATCCTTACCCAATTAATCATGACTAAGTACAAATCTCACGTAATTTAATTAGTCTAATTTGACTTCTTTTAGAGTCTACTTAATTATATTTAAATTTATCATTCTGAATCAGATTTTTAATCAAACTCTCAAAAGGCTCCAAATATTAAATTAAACTTATTTTCATTCTTAATCTTGGTTTCTCACATCATTAAGGCCTTCAATTTCTAATCAGACTTCAAATTTCCGTCAATAAATTACATATCCAAATTGGACACCCCATAAATAAATTGAATTTGTAATAATCACAATTCTCAATCCTCATAATTTAATTAACTTAACTTTCTCTAATTCGGATCTAATTAATCGAATCTTAATTTTACTAAACTGAATCGAATATTTAATTAAATTCCAAAATGGGTCCGTAATTAAGATTAAATTGATTCAACTTCCTAACTTCACTTTCTTAAGCCATTTGGACCATTAATTTCAAAATAAATCTTTATTAGAATCATATATGAATCAATCCCCATAATTTTCGTAAATCTCGAATTAAATTATAATACTCGGCAATTAAATTTCAAATCCTCTTAATTAATTAAGTACTAATCATTATACGCAGTGTGGTCGTTACAATTATACACTATTTAAAAGGGGTGTGCCATATACACCCATAGTTATGTCATTTTATTATTTAGTTATAATAATTTTATTATTTAGTTATGATAATATTTTAATTATGATTCATGAGATTTTTTATTATACTGCACGTGGCGTTGGATTATATATATATTTTTAATTATGACTCAAAAAGTATAAAATTATACAATTTTATTATTTAGTTATAAGATACTTATAGTTTTTTCTACTTTAAACACACATTTTTTTAGCTATTCTATTGGGATGCTCTAGTGTCAACATTACACAAAAATAACCATGTTTGGTTTGTTGTTCATAGTTTTTTTTCATTTTTTTTAAAAATTGAAAACTAATTTTATGAAAATAAATATTAATTTTTTTTTAAAATTTAAAAAATATTTATGAAATATGAAAGGATAAAATTACACAAAAATAATAAATATTTTGGAAATTATTTATGATATCCCAATATACATTATATATATATATATATATTTAATACTAACAATAATTAATGGAGTTTAAATTCATAAATTAAGACTTGGGTAATTGTTTTCAAAAAAAAAAAAAAAAAAAAAAAAATTCAAACTATCATATCAGTGGTAGGGTCTACATGATACCACCTTATTTGTGGTGTATTAGTGGTGTTGAATTAGTGATCTAAAGTATTTTTTTTTTGTTTTTCGTGTTTTTTTTTTGAATATTTTTGAAATTTTAAGTATTTTTTATATTTTTTATTTTTTTAGATGCACATTACTTATATGTATCTAAATAGTAAAATATTTGTGAAAAAATATTTTAAAAAATTAATAAATACATAAAAATACAAAAAATGTACTGAATTTTCATATTTTTTAAATATTTTTTTGGTATTTAGTGAATTTTGTAAAAAAAATTCACAAATATTATATTTTTTAAGTATATTTATGTTAGGTATGTCTAAAAATTTAAAAAATTTCTTAAAATATTAAAAAAAATCCATTGAAAACATTAAGGGGTGTTTGAGATGTTTTGAATAAGTGTATTTTTTGAATTTTTATAAAAAAATGTATAGAAAAGTAAAGAAAGTAGATAAAAAAGTAGAGAAGAGATGTTAATAGACGTTGATGGATGTTAGGGGTGGTTTGAGATAAGTTAAATAAGTGCACTTTTTGAATTTTTATAAAATACAAGTTGAGTATGAGTTGGGTTTGAAGTAGTGTGTTAGAGAGGTTATGTGACTTAAATAGGATAGTAAGGCCTTGTTTGGGAAGACTAAATAAGTTCACATTTTTTTATCTTTTTTGGGTCACATCAATCAACATCTCCTCTCTACTTTTTTACACATATTTTTATAAAAAGTCAAAAAGTACACTTATTTAGAACATTCCAAACAACCCCTAATTTTTTGATTTTTTGACTTTTTTACGGAATGACAAACAAGGCCTTTGTTGATGTGATCCAAATAAGTGTATGTATATAAAAAAATATACTTTTTTAGTACATGCTAAACAAATAGTAAAAAAAAATTGAATTTTTTAAAAATTATTTTCTGAAAATAAAAATCAAACAAATTGATTAGTATTTTTTTAATTAAATTTAATTTATTTGGAGGGCAGAATAGCAAAGCCAACTAATGATTTGGGCATGAAATTTTGAAACACTAATCAGCCGCCTTGAGCAATTTTACCTAAATTTTAGAGCCCCCCGATCTTGCTGCAAAGCAAACCACCCCCCATTTGCTCTCTCTCTCTCTCTCTCTCTCTCTCTCTCTTCTCTGTTCTCTGGCGACACCCACAAACCCTCACAGATTTTACCACTACTACTATTTTAAAAACCAAAACCCCCCTTTACCAACGAGATCTCTCTCTCTCTCTCTAACTACAACTGTCATCACGGCCAACCAATCCAGGTACCCATTCCCCCTCCTCTCACCCTCACTCCTCGATCCCTAGGGTTTTACTCTCTCTCTCTCTCTATCTATCTATCTACATATACATACACAAGCTGTATCTATACATCACTCTGTTCTTCAAGTTTCCTTTCGATGGCTTCTGAAACCCTAGAGGAGGCCAAACAAGACGATATAGCTAATGTCGAAGACAAAGAGGAAACGAAGGAAGAAGAAGATGAAGAAGAGATAGAAGCTGAAGTGAAAGAATCAGGCGATACGGAAATGGCGGCGGAGGAAGAGGAAGAACCTGAAGAGAGTAAGGAGAAGGAAGAAGAGGAGGAGGTTAGCAAGGAGGTAAAGAGAGGCAGAAAAGGAGGTTCGAAGAAAGCTGCGAAGGTGAAGAAGAGTGAGAAGAGATTGAAAGAGCCTGTTACGCCGATCGATAGGCCGTCCAGGGAGAGGAAGACGGTAGAGCGGTACTCGGAGCCCTCAACTGGGAGAAGTGCGAGCAAGGGTTTGTCAATTGAAAAGGTACTAAGCAGTTTAAAACAATGCGTTTTGCTTCGTATTTTTGTTTGTTTACGGTGATTTTGTTTTATTTCAGTTTCTATATATATATATTATTATTATCTCATATAAGATTTTGTGAAAATACAGGGTCGAGGCACGCAGCTTAAAGATATTGCGAATGGTATGTATTTGATCATTTCTAGTTTGGATTTCGTTCACTTAGGTTCATTAATTTTTTCATCAAATTTAAATTTGATTGAAAAAAAAAAGTGGCTAAAAGTATGTTCCAAGCAATTGCTTCACGAAATCAATAATGAACCAAATTCAACCCCAAGGGGTCGGCTTGGTGGTCAGTCACTTGGCCTTTCATGAAGCATTAGGTCTAAGGTTCGACTCCCATTGAGTGCTAGCAATCCCTTTGGGGCCATGCTAGCAGGCATAGCCCGAGATTTGTCCAACTCGCGTGGAGGGGCACTTTATGTGGGTCTCGGGACTAGTCAGGGTATATCCGGATACCATTTAAAAAAAAAAAATGCTTGTTATCGCGCTAAGCATGACTTTAAACAAGAATTCAAGATGGAATGGATGATTAGCATGTATACTCATTCCTCTATTAATCTTTTGTTGTACTTCTGGTGCTGTCACTGTTCTGTCTGGCTAGAAATTCTTGGTTTTGCATCTATCTTTGAAGTTAACCTCAGAGTGACTTTCCAAAGGAGCTATTGTTTTTAGTGCATAAATAGTACAGTTAAATACAGTGATTTTTTAGTTTCTAACATCATACTTCACTTATAAATTTTGGGTGTCTTATTTATTTTATTTTATTTTTGATCAGCAAAAGTCTGCGGTTAGTTGTTAGATTAGAACATTGGGAGAGTTGAAACTCACGCCCATACACCTTGCAAGAAAATCTCGCCCTGCTATTCCACTCCTAAGAGTGGAACCCAAGACCTCCCCCCATTAGGAGAGACTCAGTGGCTAAAGGGCTAGCTAATTGGGCTAATGCCCCATGGTTAAATTTTAGGTGTCTTATGAGTTATATACTATTTTTTCCTTGAATTACAACAATGCAACCGAATCTGGAATGCTTTATTTTGCACAATTTGGCCTGCCTAGTCATTTCAGATGATATGTCATATTGGAGTATATGCTTAATAAAGTTTATTTTAACATGATCACTACCTATTTGCTTGAGTGGCCTCTTTCACCATATTTGATTGTTGAACACAGGGTTCAACATCCAGTTCTACTGTTGGTGTGTTTTGTTGGACTTTATGTTAATTTCTGTATACACATTTTACACATTTTTATTCTTTTATCATTGACAAGAAATTCTTCTTCATCCATAAGCTATTAGTTTCATTAAGACAAAGGGCCAGAGAATTGAAAAAAAAAGTAGAACTGCAACTGATCATTGTCAAAGACAGCTTGATACCACGATAAGCATGACTTTAAACAACAGTTCAAAATGCAATGGATGATTAGCACATACGCTCTCTAATAGAAGATTGTAGTTCCTCAATCAATGATTTGTTTTGCTATACTTTTGGTGCTGTTATTGTTCTATCTAGTTTGGAAGGTTGGTTTTTTATCGATCTTTGAAGTTCATATCAGACTGACTTTTAAATGCAGTGATTCTCTAGTTTCCCAGGTCATTGCTCTGGCCTCTGGATTTGTTAGACGTGCAATGCTTCATTTAGAAATTGTGTTTGGTATATTATAAGTTATCGTGTTATACTATTTTTACCTTTAATTATAGCAATGCAATCGAATCTGGAATTGTTTTATCTTGCAAAATTTGGCCTGACTGACCATTTCAGAAGATATGTTGTGTATTGGAAGATAAGCTTAATAAGTTTATGTAAGCATGACTCATGAGCACCACCTATTTGTTTGAGTGGTCTATTCCATGATATTTGGTTGTTGGACCCGGGGTTGTGTTGTGGGTGTGTTTTATAGGACTTAATGTCAATTTTAAGATACGCATTTTACACATTTGTATCTTTCATGCGTCAGCATCCATGAGCTATTCTTTTATAATTGAAGTGTTGGTGCAATACGTGATTATGTATTGCTCCTAAATATAACAAACAAGTCAGATAGGTGTTCTTTTTTCATTCACTTTGTTTCTCCTCTTTCAGTGTGCTTCATAAAGTTACTTTATGGGATCAAAAAAATGTACAAGTGAGTTACATGTGAACGAGGAGTTCGGGGCAGTTATTTAGTTTGAAGGTTTTATTCTGTGGTGTGTTTGCTCGTAGGAAATTCTTTGAAGTGTTATTCTTCACATGATTTTTATGATGTGAGTATAATTTGAGGCAGTAATTTGCAGCTGTCTTACATATTGTTATTAATTGCTGGTGTTCTTTTCTTATTGTAAACTTTATTGGCACAGCAGCTTCACCTTATATTTTATCTGATCTTATGAACTCTCAGTGGCTTTCAAGTTGTCCAAGCGAAAACCTGATGATAACTTGCAGATACTTCACACAATTCTTTTTGGAAAGAAAACAAAGGTGGTTTGTCAGTCTTTTTCATACTTCTGTCCTGCTTTCATTTGGTTGATTTGACTGTTTTTGCTTTACAATTCCTGTGTTTTTTTTTTCCCTTCCGTCATTCAATTACATTATTTTGAACGGAGTAGTAACCTATGATTTTCTTCTATGATGTTGATTGTGTGTTTTTTGGTTTTGTTGGCAGACACACAGTTTGAAGAGAAACATAGGGCAGTTTTCTGGTTACGTATGGGTTGAAAATGAGGTACTTTATTATATATATATGTGTGTGTGTGTATATTTTATAAATAAATTTGTTTCATTATTTATCTGTTTTTGTATACCTTCCTTTCTTTATTTTTTGTACCTGCTGACATGCATGCCTAAACGTTTCTGCTACGTAAATGATACTAAATGTTAATGTTCATCCAAAGCTTATATTTATTGTTTGTTTTTATATCTCTGCAACAGGAAAAACAGAGGGCAAGGGTTAAGGAGAAAATTGATAAATGTGTTAAGGAAAAATTGTTGGATTTCTGTGATGTCCTCAATATTCCAATTAACAGGGGCAATGTGAAGAAGGTAAGTGTTCATGAATGATCCAATTCCACTGTGTATTCTGAATATTTAATTGATTGATTAGTTTCTCTCTGAATTATACTTTCAGGAGGAACTTTCAACAAAGTTATTGGAGTTTTTGGAATCTCCACATCCTACCACAGATACTTTGCTTGCTGATAAGGAACAGGTCATAGAATGTTCTTGTATATTCAATTACACTAAAGTGTCCATATAGTTCCCTAGGTGAGAGTTATTACTGAATTTTTTTCGTTACTTCTCAATCCCAGAAAGGAAAAAAGCGAAAGGGAAAGGCCACAACAAGCAGAATTGCAAGTTCTGGGGAGGCATCTGAAGAGGCATCAGTTAAGGTTTGCCCAAAATTGCTTGAACTGGTCATGTTGATGTAGAGAAATGATTCCTTGTGAATATTGTAATTGCATTTGCATCACTTTTCACTTAATTTTGCAATGGCGTACAGTAAACATGACATACTGCTATGATTTTGGCCATATCCATCTCAATTCCGTCGCAGTGATTCAAAAATCTGTTTTTGATCGACATTATTGTGGTTTGTTTACATATCTATTAATTAAGTGATGTGCTTGAATGGTGCACTTGTTGTTCAATGGGAAATATAACTTTATATGATGGGGTCTGTTCCTTTCCTTGAATATTTTCGATCTGAATATGACTGGTTTTTTATTATTAGTTATCTAGGAAGCACGGGTGCGGGTACGAGTATGGTACGGGTACGAGTGCGGGTACGCCGATACGGCAAAATTCCAAAAAAGTATGATACGGGTACGGCTGCGGTACGCCGATATTTTTTTTATAATTATGGTTAAAGGATCCAACCTACAAATTAAAATTAAATATCAAAACTAAAAAGAGAACTACAAAACTAAAAGACAAATATGACAAGATATTTTTTAATAATATTTGTGAAATCTCACTTTGACATGTTATGCACTGTGAGTCTGTGATCATAATTTATTTCAGTGACAAGTATGACAAGAACAAGGACACTACAACACCTTTCAATCCGACTCCCATATTGACCTACAAAGTATCTCTCAATTTTAGTTCATGAAAGACAATGAAACAATAACCAATCATATCCACCCACAACATCAAGCATTGCAAGGAAATTAACCAATGTGGAAACAGATAGATAACCTAACTTAACTCAAAACCAATGGTTATGCATCACAAATTAATGCTCTGTTTTTCAGTTACAAAACCCCCATCCCTCCCCCCAAAAATAAACTGCTACGAAAGAGAATTTAAGGTGTCAAGGGATTTTAATTTGTCATCAAGCTTTACAACCAATATCATATTGCATATATATATGACATATATCAGAAAAAAATAAAAATAAAATAAGGACAGATCTTAGTTCAACAAATCTGGACAGATTTTAGTTCAAAAATCTGGACATATATCAGAAAAATAAAATAAAATAAGGACAGATCTTAGTTCAACAAATCTGGACAGATTTTAGTTCAAAAATCTGGACATATATCAGGAAAAAATAAATAAAATGAGGACAGATCTTAGTTCAACAAATCTGGACAGATTTCAGTTCAAAATCTGGACATATATCAGGAAAAAAAAGAAGAAAAAAAGAGAGTTCAAGAAAAATGAAGAAGAAGATGAAGGATCAAAGAAAGAGAAAACCAAAGAGAGAAGAAGAATCGATCGTTTGCAGCGAAGAAACAGCACAAAAATCTGAAAAAAAAAATGAAAGAAAGAGGATAAAGAATCGAAGAAGAAAAGGGAAAAGAATCGAAGATGAACTTACCTCTTCAATCGCACCTTCGAATGAGAGAATCAATCAGCAGCACCTTCGATTAAACCTTTCAATCGCACCTTCGAAGTGTTCTTTAGACTATCTTGGGAGTATTTCTGGAGATGATCTAATAGACATGGAACCCTAGCTCATTCGAAGTTAATGAGATATGGAACCTAATTTTATTTGGTTTCATGTTTTATTTATTACAAAAGAACCCCAGATTTTTATAATTCTTTAAAATAGACATAAAAAATTGCTCCGGTATCCTTTAATTTATAAAAAAATCTCATTTTTTACCCCGGAGTACCCAAAACGTACCCATGGCGTACCCATCCGTATACTAACCGTATAAAACGTACCCGGTGCCTTTTTGGCGTACCCAGTACGCGTGCAGCCGTACCGGTACGCGTACCCGCACCGGGGAAGTAGCCGGTACTTGTACGACAATATTTTTGGAGTACCCGTGCTTCATAGTTAGTTATTGTTTTTATTTTTATTTTTTAAGATTTCTAGTCAGTATGACAATTCTGAGGATCATAAATAAATTATGTCTTGGAGATTTTGGACATGGGCAACAATTTTGGTGCCTTTTACATGATTAATGATTACCATGCCTTCTGTTTTTTCTTCAAATCTTTGAGGTGAATAAAGGACTTCAGTTTTGCTAAAGTATTCATGTTGACATGACACCGGTATGGTTATGGGTATGGGTATGGGATATGGATATGATCCTTCTATTTTGAAGCAGACACTTCTTAGTTTTTTCTTTTATAAAATTTGGAGTAAAATCATTGTATTCTATGTTTTGCATTGCCAATATATTAAAATTATAGTATATATATAATACATCATGAATAAATTTTATTTTTACATGTATAAAATTATTATATTTCCAATTAGACTAAATATCCCCATACCTATATTTAATTTTTGGATCCCTTTTTGCCAAGTTTGTGTATCCTAAAATTTGGAGTTTGATGTGTCCGACCCCTAGGTTTGCACCCGCATCAAGAGTCCATGTACATAGGGTTTCCTTAACAATGATGTTTGTGTTAAAGATTGAGGTATTGTAGGTTTCCTTGCCTTTTGTTTTCCCTTTTTTCCCCCTAGTGCGATTGTTCCCTTTCTAGTCATTGGTAAAACAGTGCCTTTAGTGATGCCTTGACTCTATTTTTGTTGGAAAGTGTTGGGAATGGACCTCTCCGTGGTGATAATTTTAATAGCCAAAAAAATGGTAGCCCGTGTTTCATGTCTTGTTGGGTTCCAAGGAGCCACTATTCTAGCTTGCATTAGCTTGGTGGTAAAGAATTGGATTTACTAGAGCACAAAAGAGACCATTGCTCTAAACTCATTGCCATTGCAATGTTCTTTAAACAGACTATGACACCTAATAGTTGTACTAACTTTAGTTTCACTACCTATTGAAACTAGGTTAGTAGTTAATGCTGTTACCTTTCTCTTGAAGTTTATTTTTACGTCTTGCTATTTGTACTGTGCTTCCCTGTTACAAAACCGTTGAGGTTCACACTCTGTGGTCTATCAATTATGCTTCTTTGTCTGTTATCCTTTTCGGTTCTTTCACATTACCTTTTGTTACATTTTATAGATTCTCTACTATCCATTTCTAGGTCACTATTAGCATGGTAATGTGTTTCTTATAGTTCTTTTTTCGATCTCTGCATTATGCTGAGGGGTTGCTCTTTTCATCTCAAATTATTGTACATTTTTAGTTTATTTCTGGGGGATTGCCCATTTTTCCGGAGTTACTGAGCAATTTTTGAGCTTCAAATTTATGTTTTGTTTCCTTTATTTTATTTTATTTTTGTTTTTACTTATCTTTTATGTTAGCAGCTCTGGCAAGTGGTTCTAAACTAGTACTGACACACTATGGATAGCCTGTAGCACTTACAACTGAGTCCTCTTTGTGTTTGTCACAATTTTATTTGGAATGGATTTTTGAATTAAGCTTCTGGGCACACTATGCTTAATATTAATAAAGTGGAAAAACTGCTTTATTAAGAATTCTCCCAATGGCTTTGGTTTTCGAAAAGCAGCAGTACCCTGTCCCTTTAGCTGTCTTTTCCTCCCTCTTTCTCAAGCTCAATTTATGTCTTTCACCTTCTTCCGCTGTTCTTCTTTTACTGCTGCAGCAGCCTAAGACATACTAATTGTTGTCTCTTCTTCATTACTTTTAAGAAGGGTTGTTCATTTTAGCGTCCTCTTCTTTGATGCTTGCTTTTATGCTTTCCTACAAATAGTCCAAGACAAAAAATATGCTTTCTATTGTGCAGTCAATTATCCCTTTTAGTTTATTTTGTTGTTTAATAGCAACACCACTGATTTGTTACAGCTTTTTTCACTATGGAAAGTGTTATGGTATGCATTTTATGTATTGTGAAGCCTAAGCCAACTTTGGGTTTCCAATGTTCTATTAAAAGTTCAGTTAGGTTGGGTTCATCAGGTTCTTCATTTTGGGAAATTGTATAATTCACCTTTTCCAATGTATTTAGTTTTTGGTCTGTTAATAAAATATACACTAGATAAATCATGAATCTACCAAATGTTTAGCATAAATAAATGGGTATGGTTCTGTTTCATCCAATATAGGTATAACTGTAATAATTTTGTTAGTTTGGGTTTGGATTTAGTTTTTTTCTGCAAGGCCTCAACTGGAGCCAATCTCAATTTTTAGGTTGGTTTTTGAGTCCAATGCGCAACTCTAAATTCACAAACTTACCCTATTTTGTTCACTGCTTAAGTTGGTCCATGTTGAATCTGCTAAAGTTGTAGGCCATGTTGAACATTTCAGATTTGTTTAGAAGCAAAATCGTCTGTTGAAGACCTAGCATTTTTTCATTGATGTTCATAGTACTGTGATGGTACAGTCATAATCACTAAAAAATTGAGAGATCTGAAAATACAAATATGAAGATAGACTTGTTGGCATTTAAAGTCCTGCAAAAATTGAATTAGTTTGCTTTTGTTTTGTAATGTGGAACCTATAAGCTAGATAGGTAATTATTGAATTTCTGAAAGCAACTCAGGAAACATAAATAACTTATAGCATGCTAGGGCTAACATGTAACTTCTCAAAACCTGTTTAGAACGAAAAGAACTCAATTTTTATGGCACATCCAATGACCAAATTCTTGTAATGGGCTTTGCAATTGCCTATTCAGTGAATCTATAATAAAATTTGTAAATTTTTGATTTATCAAAAAAAAAAAAAAAAATTGTAAATTTCTGAATGCTTGTTTTGCTTTACACCACCCTCTGTTTTGCAAAATAAAGTTACACAAAAACTAACGAAAAGAAACACATGCACACTTCATTTGTTACTTCCAGCGATATTGTAACTTTTCCTGTATTTAAGACCACTATTTTGCCTTCTCACTTCTTCTCTATTATTTTTCTATTCATAATGGGGGAGATAAATTTTCTGGGAAAGCTTTGTCGTTTGTTGAGATTCTCTATGATCAACTCTCTCTCTCTCTCTGTGTCTGTGTTAGTAATTCTTTTTTCTCCTTTTGATTTTATTTAATTATTCTCTTTTTCATCTAGAAGCGGAAGCAAACCCCTCAAGTTGGGGTAAAGCGCAAGCGTTCTTCCAAAACTGAGGAAGAAGAAGTGGATGATAAAGTTGAACCTTCAGACACAAAAAATGAATCTCAAGATGATGATGACAATGATACAATTCCTAATGAAGAGAGTGAGCACGAGGAGAGTAAATCTGAAGAAGTGGAAGAAGAAGATGAGCCAAAGGAGCAGATGCCAATTGAAAAAAAATCTTCCAAAACGAATGTGAAGAAGGATTCTGGGGCTAAAATTAGTGCGAAATCTATATCTGCCAAGAAGGGAACCCCTGAAAAATCTGTCAAAAGCCCTTCAAAATCTACTAAAAAATCTTCCAGTTCAACTTCGAAGAAAGGTACTACTGATGCTGATGGAACTTCTGGACCATCTTCCAAACCCAAGGTCTCTGCAGCTAAAAGGCAAAAGGTGGAAAAGAAAGGTGGGGACCAAAGTGCCTCTGCCAAGGAGAAAGTAACAAGCAAGAAACAACCAAGCAAGTCTTCTTCAAATGTATCAGCAAAGGATCAAGGTGCACAACTTTCTGTTTATTCTTTGATGATGTTATTTCCTGAATTTTGATACTAAAGTTTGCATTTAAATGTTTTTCGCATTTTCTAACGGTTCGTACAATGAAAAACAAAAGAACAGAAAACATTTTTCGTGGTCAATGAAAAACAAGCTTGTTTGGGCGGAGAAAAAATGTTCTCCACTTTTGAAAGGTGAAAAATGTTTCCTGGACTAAAGTCTTACCAAAGCCACCACGCTATCACCTCCAACACCCTACCACCGCCACCGCACCAAATCTACTCCTACCAACCCACCACCTCCACTACCATCTCCATGCCCCTAATCTGAACGGTACGATGAAAATGAACAAATGCGGTCAAGAGCCTCACAGTTTGAGCTGCATTCAATATCCCATGACCTACATTGCTGTCTTGACTCTCAGATTATCAGCACACTCCACCAGCTCCTCCATTGCCCATCTCAGCCACCCAATCTCCAATTCTATGTGATTAGCTTCTCCACCACTGCCACCACCACCACCACCACCACCACTGCCATCACAGCAGCCACCACCACCGCTGTCACAGCCATACCACCACCACCGCTATTGCAGCCATAGCCACCATCACCATCACCACCACCTCCATCCCCCTGCTGCCACAACCATCACCACACCACCACCACTAATACAACCATGAGTATATTATTTTCGAGGATGCAAACAAACATAGGAAAATGTTTTCTATGGAAAACATTCTTTTGGAAACCGTAGAAAATGTTTTCAGCTGAAATAAACCGAGCGCAAGTTTTTTTTCTTCTTCTTTTCCCGTACATGTTTTTTCTGCACTTCCTATTTGTAAACTTTAAGCCTTTGCAGATAACATCTTGTAAAATTTGTATCTGATGTTTAGTTGTTCCAGAATTGAGAACTAGTCAAATACTGGTCTCTACTGTCATTGGTTTGATTTAGCCACAGGCGGCAGATGTGGGATATTTAAATCTTAAAAGTACTGCGATGATTTTTACATTTATTGATAAACTGTTCTGAATCTCTGTGGGGATAGGAAAAGGAAAAGCTAGCAAGAAGAGCAAGCCGGAACCCAGCAAAGAAGAGATGCATGCTGTCGTTGTGGATATTCTGAAGGAAGTCGACTTCAATACTGTAAGTAGTGCTTGCTTTCTGGCCCTGCATACGTTAAATAGTTTCAAGTTTTATTTATTTATCTATTTGTTATGTCATTCAAAAAGTTCCTATACTGGTCATTATGCAGGCAACTTTATCTGATATTCTCAGGCAACTTGGTAAGCCTCATGTCCTTTTTAGGTTACAAATTATGATATTAAATTCAACTTTGTTGTGTCAACATATCATTGTTCGAAACTGGTTATGCTAGGGACCCACTTTGGCGTGGATCTAATGCACAGAAAAGCAGAAGTGAAGGCTATAATTACGGATGTTATAAATAGCATGTCTGATGAGGAAGATGATGGGGATGAAGCTGACAGTGGAGATGATGCCGAGAAAGATGAGGACAATGACAACGATGCTTAACCCATTAATGACCCTTGTAAGACAGTTGAAGTAATGCAAATTCACTCACCATGGCCTATCTTCTTGTACAACGGTTCGCTCTTAACTTTTCCAAATGTATGTCCTAAGTTAGGTTTGTCTGTACCATATACATTAATCCCTTAGGTGCTTTACCCGAGATCCAAGTTCTTTTCTCTTTAATTATAACTTTTTTTGTAATTGTGCTTAGTTGGAATTTTTTTTTTGTTTTTTTTCTAAAATTATGTTGCAACTCCTCAAAAATTTTCTGCGGGTGATACAATTGGTGTAAATGAGTAGTATATTTCTTCTTTCGTACTGAATGAAATGAAATTATTGGAAGTCCTTAAGTGAATTGGTTTGAGTAAGTTTTAGCATTTTGATATGTAAGTTTGTTTTGGCAGTTGAGTGAACTGAGCTGTGACTCGAGTATGTTTGCTGTTTTGATATATCTTTGTGATCAAATAATTTTCCTCTTGAATAATCTATATGGCCTCTTCTACTTGCACGGAAATCAGTCATAGAACCAGACACAATTTTCTCACGAGCGTAGGATTTACAAAAAAGGTGGGACTTGTCTCAATATGAGAAGATTATGTCTGGTTTTGTGATTAATTTGAGTTCTTAGATTTTTTTAATTTTCTATATATATGTTTTAGTTAGTAGGATTTTGTATTTTGTAAGGGTACATCATTAGTTTTTGAGTTCTTTGATTTTTTAATATTATATATATATATGTTTTAGGGCAAGTTTGAGATCTTTCAAAAAAGATAAAAAGACAAAAAGTTACTTAAAAAGTTAAAAAATTAACACTATTTACTAAAAGTCTGACTCGAGTATGTTTGCTGTTTTGATATATCTTTGTGATCAAATAATTTTCCTCTTGAATAATCTATATGGCCTCTTCTACTTGCACGGAAATCAGTCATAGAACCAGACACAATTTTCTCACGAGTGTAGGATTTGCAAAAAAGGTGGGACTTGTCTCAATATGAGAAGATTATGTCCGGTTTTGTGATTAGTTTTTGAGTTCTTAGATTTTTTTAATTTTCTATATATATGTTTTAGTTAGTAGGATTTTGTATTTTGTGCGAAGGGTACATCATTAGTTTTTGAGTTCTTTGATTTTTTAATATTATATATATATATATATATGTTTTAGGATTTTGTATTTTGTGCGAAGGGTACATTACGATGGTATAACTCTCTTCACTTGCATGTGTGTTACACTAGTGTGGGCTTCGCATATGTGTGAGAGAGAAGAGCACACCACCTGAGTGGCAAAATATCATCTTGTCTGTGCATGAAGGAGTAGCTCTTGTAGACCTCTCTTAGGTTGTGTTGTGTTTGGTTCTTTTTTTAAAGGGGGTTGCTATTTGCTTCAACTTTTTTACCTTGGTCCCTCTATTTTTTTGAACCCCCACTTAGAAAAATGAGTTCTCTTTATTTTCTCTTTGAACCCGTACCTTAATACAAACTATACTTCTAATTCCAAACCAAACACAAACCCTAGCCCTTAACCCTAATCCCATCCTTATCAACTCCGACTGGCACTACCATCTCTCTGGCGACCTCCCAACACCTTCCCTACCAGCAGCCACCCTTTCATAACCTCCAACTACCTCAACCTCTTGTTTTTTAAATTTTTTTATTTTTTTATTTTTTTTCCCAGATCTGTGGCGGAGATCATGGCTGCGACTCTTTATTTGCTGAATCAATTTGGGAAAAAGAAGAAGACTAGACCCACACGGTGGCTAGGGTTTGGCACTTGATCTCTCTCCCTCTCGTTCGGTCTCTCTCCCTTGCGGTGGCTAGGGTTTGACAGCTAGGGTTTGGTGAAGATGTGGTTGACGGTGGTGGTAGCGATGATGGTGAGGATGAAGATGAGAAGAGGAGGAAGAATAGAAGGGTTGCTGGTGAGGATGGAGATTGGAGGGGTGGGATGGAGAGTGGTCGGATCTGTTGAAGAAGAATAAGAAGAAAGAAAGAGAGGAGGCTACTAGCCGGAGTGGAATGGAGTGGAGGTGGAGGGTTAGGGTTAGGGTTGGAAGTGTACAGATGGGTAAAAATGGAAGTTGGTGTTAGGGCAAAATTATAATAATAAAAAAAATAGAAGAGGTGAAAGTCCAAAGAAAAAAGTAAGTGTTAATAACAATACTTTTTTTAAAATATTTTTTTTTCTCTATAAATTTAATATTCAAATATAGCCTTAATGGACTCTTGGTGTGATATATGTAAATTAACTTTTCTTTTTGTAGTATTGCATTGCCTCTAATAGTTGACCACTGGAGGTTTGGGTTTGGTATTTATTGTTAACAACTCTCTGCTGGTTCAATGAGTTTGTTCTGTAAGTTGCTTTATGTTATGTTTGAATTTTTAATTTAGGGAGAAATCATAGTGAGAGAAAAAAAAATTTGAAAGAAAAAAATGTATGAAATAGAAGCAAAATCCCTATGAATTTAAGATTTAGGGTCGTAACTTGTTGGGTATGTCTCGTAATTAATCGAAGTTATTTGAGTTAGTCAAATTATCTCTTTCAGACAACCACCTTCGGTATATCAAAAAATAGGACTAGAAAATTGCAATTAACCATTTAACAAGCCATTGTTGGCAACTGGTAAAATTGTTGATGTTGGGCTATTGAGGGCTATTTTAGGAAGATGGTTCTTCCAACTTTTAATTCATTGTGAATCATACTATCTCTTATATTTTTTACATGTTTTTTCCAAAAAAATCAAAAAAATCAAATTTTAATCATCTTTTCAAAACAGCAAAGAAGGTTACAAAAATTAATTTTGGCTTTAGTGCCAACTAGTTTGATTAATCTAACCATGGGTTTTGCCAAAAGGGTGGGGAAAGATAATCTATTGTGAAAAACTGAGATCACTTTATGGGTCCACCAAAAGCATTGAATAATTTGATCGTAATCTTCAACTGCATCTTTTTATAGATTTAAAAAGAAACATATCAGACGGAAAGAACCCGAAGTAGTAGTTAGTTAAGCAAATTACCTAATCTTGACATGGGGTGATAGTAACCATAAAAAACAATATTAGGGCTGCTTGACATTGCCTGTGGGTTGTCGAAACTTGGCTAATGGCGGTGCCTTGCCGAGTTGTCCCTACGATGATTGTCAACAAGTGATAAATTAAGTTGTAATAAGCGTTTTTGAAAATATAAGTTATAAATTCAAATTTTATGAGCCGCCTGATTTTTTTGGAGCCGCTCTTAAAACTTGTATCCAATAATTACTTGATATATACTGAACTATATATGCTTAAAGGATTAATTAAAAAAAATTCCGAGTATATAAGAGAAACAAATTAGAATAAAAGGATTAATTAGTAGATAAGTTAAATTGTGACAAGTGTTTTGAGAAGTTTATCTCACTAGTTCAAATCCCATAAATTGTTTAACTTTTTTGGTATTACTCCCAAAGCCTGTGCCTAATAATTACTATATAATAAGTGTAAGAGAGTGGAATCTGATTTTGTTCATGCATTATCAAATTTTTTGATTGATTTAAAATAATATAGTTTACAGTTTTAAGTGAATTAATACACTTTTTAAATAAATTTATTTTTTGAAACGAAGATTGTATACATTCAAAAAATTAGTCCGGACAACATCCTAATAATACCCCTGCTTATACCACCTCCCAAAAATTAAAAAATAAAATAAAAAAACGGAAGTAGAGGAGGGGCTAGCCTCATTATTCATGAAAATGTTATTAAAATTGTATTATTTAAATGAGTTTTTTTTTTTTTTTTTTTTTGCCCAAAATAAACAAATAAGTGGCATGTGGGAAAAATTATAAACTTGAGTTAAAAATACTAATGAGATAATCAATTGGACTAATAAATTCATTCAATTGAACACAATGACGTAAACGGTGCAAAGGGGGGGGAATAGGTTAGAAATTGATAGTGTACCTTAGAAGTTGGATCGGTGGCTAACACAGACTGAGGAAAAACAGAAATCACTCGATTTGTTCCCATCGGCAACTTCGTTTTTCGTAAATTCAGACATTTTCCCCAGAATTTGGAAGTGATATGCGACTTTCGAATCTGTGAATTTGCCTGAAAAATTGATGTGACTTGCCAGTAAATCTCAACCATACACTGTAGCACTTTAGAAAACTTTAGAAAAAAATCACTCTAGAGGATCCTTGCTCCCAAAACCAACCCATGTTCAAATCAAGACTCTCTCTCTCTCTCTCATTAAAAAACTGACGTGTATTAGTATTCTCCAATGACGTGTCATAACTTGTCTCTTTCATGACTCTTACTTTGGTTAACCAAACCCAACATATTTGTCAATCTTCTTCACCCTGCTTCTCCTATATAACATCTTCAATACCATTTGCCAGGAAGAATAGAAAGAGAGACTATTCTTGAGTACCCCCAAAACATTAATTGAAATACCACCTCTCTGCATCATCACAGGTTTGTTTTTAATTTTATTTTTTAAATTGTGTTTGATTTGTGAATTTGAATAGAGATTTCAAAAAATGTGTTTGAAGTGGAGTTATATTTTATTCACATTTTACTTATCTTTTCCCTTCTTCTTTTTAAATCTTTAACCAAACACTTAGCATATGCTTTTTTCAGTCCCCTTAATTTCCAACTTTTTTTTAAAGGTAAATTAGAAAGTAGGCCTATACTTTATTTTTTGTGTTATTTTAATTTTTATATTTTCAATTGGTTCGATTTTGACTCTGAATTTATAATTTTATCTCAATTTAGTCAAATTGATTACAACTCTTAACATTTTTTATGAAAAATACACACATAAGTGTTACGTGTCATATTTTTAAGGGCAAAATAATAAACTTATTCAACTCAGTTAGTTAATCTCAACTAATTTAGTGATAATTATCTTTTAAAAGCACTAACAATATTATTAATTGGACTAAATTGAAATAAAATCTAAAATTATAGGTAAAAAAAGAGATTTTGAAGATGTGTCGTGTTGTAGGCATAGGCAATTTTGTTGAATCATGCAAATCTATGTGTCGTGCCTTCCTGATTTCTGATCAATTCTTGCTATTATGTGTGTGGGGTTTATGATGTAACAATAACTCATAAAAATTTCTATTTATTTCTACATTTTGAAGTTTTTGCATGCACCAAACACATACTGATTTCTTCTCCTGCATTCCACTTACTTTCTCATTAACCAAACTAAACTTTTTTCTGTTTCTCAGACTCCAGGAAAATTTTCAACATTTTCTTTCTCCCAATGGAAAATGATGGAAGCAATACATTTCAACTCATTGTGAATCAAGGAGAGCCGACTCTAGTCCCTCCTGCAGATGAAACAGAGAAGGGCTTCTATTTCCTCTCCAACCTCGATCAAAACATTGCTGTCATCGTTCGCACCATTTACTGCTTCAAATCGGACAAAAAAGGAAACGAAAAAGCCGCTGATGTCATCAAAGCCGCGTTGTCGCGTGTTCTTGTCCACTATTACCCGCTCGCTGGGCGCCTCACAATTAGCCCCGAGGGGAAGCTCATAGTGGATTGTAATGGCGAAGGAGCGGTTTTTGTGGAGGCAGAGGCGAATTGCGATATAGAAGAGATAGGCGATAACACGAAACCTGACCCAGTGACTCTCGGGAAGTTGGTTTATGATATTCCTGGTGCTAAGAACATACTTGAAATGCCTCCTCTTGTCGCTCAGGTTTGTCATTTTATTTGGATTGTCATTTATTTTATTTTATCCGTGTAGGAGTGTAAACTGTTCGATTTGATCAGTTTTTGTGGAGAGTTGGTTATTGAGACGAATTAATCGGTTTGCAAATGCCATGAACCGAAAGAGACCAAACCATTGATGGTTGGACCGGTTTGGTTTCGCGCAGTTTAATTGGGTTGGGCCTTTTAGAGTTTGCTTTTAATGGTAGTGAAAAAAAAAAAAAATGAAATTTGGGTTATGTTTTTAACAAAATCACTAGTAAATAAAAAACATACCAACAATAAAATGAGAAAATGAAGACCTATAAGGAACTATAAAGGAATCAAAACAAAATATGAACTGAGAAAAAAGAGAACAAAGACCTAGTGGTAATTTTTTGCAATTGAATTTTTCAAAATAGTTTCAGATATTAGGAAATGAAACAATTGATGAATATTTTAAGCCATCAAATTGCAGAGAGTATTATCATTTTCATCGCATGTATAATTTTTTTTTGTTTTTGGAAATCTCAAATACGTTTTGATCGGTCTGTTTTGATGGGTGTGGTTTTTAGATGTTGAAAATCAAACCGAACTAGAAATCCTATTTTTTTAAGAAACCAAAACCGAACAGAAAACGTAATAAAAGTAATATTCAACTGATACTTTGGGTTGTTTTGGGAAGATGGTAAAAAGTGAATTTTTGGCTTTTAACTAAGCTTTTGGCTTTTTTAGACAAATGATTTGGGAAGTTGGTAAAAAGTGACTTTTGACTTTTTTGATTAATATTTGTTTATGATGTCAAATCATAATAAAATGACTAAACTACCCCCATTTATTTAAAATATTTACAACTGAACCTATGTAACACATTGTGACCCATGAGGGGTAAAATTGTAATTTCACCGTTGGCTAAAAACCAACTTGCCAAATGAAAAAAAGCCAAAAAAGCCAACTTTTGGCTTTTGCTACTAACCAAAAAAAGTGACTTTTAGCCAAGTTCTCAAAATAGCCCTTTGTTGTAGTTGCTTTTTTTTTTTTTGGTAAGATTGAGTGATGTTTTTTCTTGTTATAAATTGGATTTTGTTATATTATAAACAACAATGATTCATCCCACTAAAAACATTACCACTAATAGCACTAATGCATTAAAAAAGTAAAAAAATAAAAATAAAAATACAACTCTAAGACCAAAACATCACATCATTAATGGCGAGACCCACTGCCACCTAATTAGTAGGAGCACTAATTAGTGCTCCCAAGCATTTTTCTATTACAAAACAAGAAGACTATATTTTTATATATAAAAACGGAATTTGTGTGGATATTGGTAAATGTTTTTAACAAAATGCAAGTACTTGTTTTCCTTTTTACCCACAATTATTTTTAATAAAAATTAAATATAAAACCGTTCTATTTCAAGAGTTCGCCTAGGGCCCAAATAAGATTTTCGGAGAAAAGTTTATAATCCATGTATAGAAATTGCAAAATATGATTTGTAATTTAGTTTCCACTGTTTTCAGGGAGGGAAATAATGGAAACTGAACTTTGATATGAAAATAATCAAATCCCCTGTTTTTTATACTTGCTCAATTTATCTTTCCAGGTGACAAAGTTCAAATGTGGAGGATTTGTTCTTGGGCTATGCATGAACCATTGTATGTTTGATGGGCTTGGTGCCATGGAATTTGTCAATTCATGGGGCGAGACCGCCAGAGGTTTGCCTCTAATGGTCCCACCATTCCTCGACAGAAGCATACTCAAGGCGCGAAACCCGCCAAAGATCGAGTTCCCCCATCATGAATTCGCTGAGATTGAAGATAAATCTGACACCGCTACTCTCTACAAAGAAGAAATGCTTTACCGGTCCTTCTGTTTTGACTCTGAAAAGCTTGAAACACTCAAATTGAAAGCAACAGAAGACGGGTTTTTAGACAAGTGCACAACATTTGAAGCCCTCTCTGCATTTGTTTGGAGGGCTCGAACCCGTGCACTGAAGCTGAAACCCGATCAACAGACAAAGTTACTTTTTGCTGTTGATGGACGATCTAGATTCAACCCGCCAATCCCCAAGGGTTATTGTGGAAATGGGATTGTGTTAACAAATGCGCTTTGTAATGCAGGTGAACAAGTAGACAATCCATTATCATTCACTGTAAAACTAGTCCAAGAGGCGGTTAAGTTAGTTACAGACGATTATATGAGATCGGCGATAGACTATTTTGAAGTCACAAGGGCTAGGCCTTCCTTGACCGCAACACTTCTAATCACTACTTGGTCTAGACTGTCTTTTCATACTACAGATTTCGGATGGGGAGAGCCCATCTTGTCGGGCCCGGTGGCGCTGCCAGAGCGGGAGGTGATTTTGTTTCTCTCTCATGGGAAAGAGAGGAAAAGCATCAATGTGCTTTTGGGCTTGCCTGCTCCAGCAATGAAAATCTTTCAAGAGCTTATGCAGACCTTGTTTTACTAAGAGTCTTGTGGACTGGGTCATCTTGGTTTATTTATTTAATGACGTCATGACTATGATATGTTATTTTGTTACAATACATAATTTATTTCATTGTGGCGTAAGTGCATTTTGTAAAAAAGAAAAAAATATATATACGTGGAACAAATTTACTTCAATTGTGGGAATGGATGGACTTTGTTCGGAACAACAGGGGAAGAACATAAGTGCAAATTTATGTCCAGTTTGTTAATTTTTAATAAGTAATTATTCTTGTTTAAATGTATTTGGAGCTATTTTGTTGGGTATATGAAGTTCAATATTATTGAACATCACAAGGGCAGTTAGCATTCGTATTACAATTTATTTTATTTTATTTTTTGTTGCCATTTTCAAGTTGAATAATATGGTTCAGAAAAGTGTTTTATTATCATATGACAATTTTGGTACTGAGAGAAAAGAAAAAAAATTGCATGCACCTTCCCTATTTGAAGGCTACCAGATTAATTTATTTTTTGTTGGGTAAAAAAAAGGGTGATACGTGCATGATAACTTTTACTGTTTATTGTTGAGTGAGGGAAGTTGTCTCAAACTTCTCTCCCTCAGTTTCACCGTGAAGAAAGAAGAAGAAAAGAGAAGCTTGGCTTCTCTTGTGAAGACCAAGCCAGGAGACTCCAGAAGATGGAGTCAGACGAAAGAGTTTAACTTGGATTGAAGCTTCTTGATGGTCAACAATGGAGGCACCTTGAAGTTTTCGGAACGCGTTTGAAACACACTGCTTGCGTATCTCACCTTGAAGGAACTCTATAAATAGAGAGGTAAGGTATTGTATTTGGGTATGCAAACATCGAATTAAAGAAGAAGAGAGTTGTGAGGAACTAAGAGTGAAAATTATGTCTCTCCAAATATATTGAATTTCCACTGCCTGTGGACGTACGCTATTGCCGAACTACATAAACTCTGTGTTTCTCTCTTGTGTGTGTTTGTTTGCATCAATCTGGGTTCCTCCTAACCCAACAAGTGGTATCAGAGTTTCGTTAGATGACTTTTCAGTGAAATATGGGGCATCTTTTAGAATTGCCTAAATTTCAAAGTTGTTGAAATCAACTTCTGAATACGCTAGGAGGTCTGTCTCGTCGAGAGGAGTCCAACGGTGTAAAGATCAAGTTCAAAAGACCTCACACGCCCCTAGAAGCTCAACACGTGAGTCTCACTCTCACCACACGCCGCATACGTGAACCAAAGGTAGAAGATGAGCTGATGTCATCTTGTCGTCGACCGTTGATGTTACGCCGCTGGCCACTGACGTCATTACCCTAAAATCGAGCCTTGCCACCACATCACTGAACCTCGTCACTGCGATGCCGCCTACCTGCCACGTGTCAGTGCTACATCGTGCCATGTTAGCTATCTCGCCATCACCACTGGTCCGGTCAACGTGCCACGTCAGCAAGTTTGACCTCCATGTTAGCAGCCCAGTTAAGCAATGAAATATTCTCTTGAATAGCGAAATATTCCTTGAAAGGTTTTGGTCAGTTTTGGGAGCACTTTGGGCCAATTTTTGACGTAGGGAGAGTAGCCCCTAGCTAAATCAACCATTTCGGATGCAATTGTGCTATCCATATCTTTAGATTTGGATCCAAATTTTGCGAGGTTGTCAAGGGTGTTGTTTTCCAAACTGTCTTAGCTGTCCTCAAAGAAGGGCTTTTTTGGTGGTTTCAGAGTTTTGAAGAAGAATAGCTGAAGAAATAGCTTCATCAAGTAACCAAAGAAGAAGGAGTTTAATCTCTAATGCCAAGTTCAAGGTTGAAAAGTTCGATGGAAGAAACAACTTCGGGACCGCCATGACCGGATGTCTATTCCTTATGAGCAGTATACTTATGGACAACTTTGCTCCATTGTCCATTATAACTGATGAAGGTCTTTCCCTATGTAATGACCTTAAACTTCATTATCAGATGAAGCAACAGAATTTAACTGGACGAAAAGAGTTAGGAGAATTTTGTGACTAATTTGCTTATGAACCAGGTATTAAATATCCCGGAACAAGAAAACTTTCTGATAAGAAATCTTCTAAACCCATCCGAAGAAAGTCAACAACAAAAACATATCACCAGAATCCTAGTAAGAAGTTTTATTCCAAAAAAGCTTCTCCTCCAGGCACAAGTAAAGGCAAATCTAAATCAGACATTAAATGCTACAAGTGTGGCCAAAAAGGACATTATGCTAACAGATGCAAATCCAAAGTAAAATCTAAGATTAATGAATTAGATCTTAATCCAGATATTAGACGACAACTTCTTCAAACCATTGAGGAAGAAGAATTAACAGATAGTGTGTCTCAATCTCCATCTGAAAATGAAATTAATGAATTAGTTTCCCCTTCCAGTAGTGAAGATGAACCAGAAGAAATTTCGTGTTCTTGCTCAACCAACCAGAATCAAATATCAGAAATAAACTATTGGAAATCAATAGTAGAAATGAATGGTTTACATTTAGGAGAACCCAGCAGTATTAATGTTTTAACAGACACACAAAAGGATATGCTTGCTGTAGCAGATCAGATCCAGGATCCAGAAATTAAAATAAAATATTTAAAAATGTGTTATGAACATCAACAGGCAGTTCAAGAACCACCCTTAATACTAGTTAATTCTTACAATCTTCAAGATGTATTTAAAAGAATTCAGGATTTAAACTCTACTATTGTAGAAAAACCGACCACTATACAGGATTTAAAAATGGAAATTAATGTTTTAAAAACAGAAGTAAAACACTTGCAAACTGCAAGTACAGCTGCAATCAAGGATATTAAATATCTCTATAGTCAGCTTAAACAGAAAGAAAAAGAAGATGTCCAACAGCCTCAACCAGAATCTTCTGATCAGTATTTATTACTTGTCAATCAAGTTACTTTCCAGAAATGGTATATCAAAATCTCATTTATGATTAAACCAGACTTTATGATTAAAAATGCTATAGCTTTGGTAGATAGTGGTGCCGATATGAATTGTATCCAAGAAGGTATAGTTCCTACCAGATATTTTGAAAAAACAACTCAAAGTCTAACTAGTGCTAGTGGTAATTCACTACAGATCAGGTATAAAATTCCAGAAGCTTATATTTGTAACCAAGATTTATGTCTACCTACATCTTTTGTACTAGTCAAAAATCTTACTCAAAATATAATTCTAGGCACTCCTTTTCTTTGTCTTTTGATGCCTATCCAGAAAATTGACCAAACAGGTATTTATTCCCAAATACAGGGACAATCTATTATTTTTGAATTTATAACAGAACCATATACAAAAGAATTATATCAAATTCGTGATTTGGTAACTTTTAAAGAGAAACAGATAAATTTTTTACAAAAAGAAGTTCAATTCTTGACAACAGAACAGAGGTTACAACAACCTTCTTTAAAACAGAAAATTAAAATAATTGAAAAGGAATTTAAAATAGAAGTCTGTAATGATGTTCCAAATGGTTTTTGGGAACGCAAAAAACATACAGTAACACTACCATATGAATCGACTTTTAATGAAAAACATATTCCTACTAGAGCTCGCCCTAGTCAAATGAAGAAGGAATAAATGGAATTATGTAAAACAGAAATCCAAACTCTTCTTTCTAAGACGCTTATCAGACCAAGCCAATCTCCTTGGAGTTGTACTGTTTTTTATGTTAATAAAAATGTAGAAATTGAACGAGGTGTCCCCCGCCTTGTAATCAATTTCAAACCGTTAAATGAAGTCTTACAATGGATCAGATATCCAATTCCGAATAAGAAAGATCTGTTAGATCGCTTACAGGATGCCATTATATTTTCTAAATTTGATCTAAAATCAGGCTATTGGCAGGTGCAAATTGCAGAACAGGATCGTTATAAAACAGCATTTACAGTACCTTTTGGGCATTATGAATGGAATGTCATGCCATTTGGACTTAAAAATGCTCCATCCAAATTTCAACATATCATGAATGATATTTTCACTCCTTTTACAGAATTTGCTTTATCTTATATTGATGATGTTTTAATATTTTCCTCATCAATAGACCAGCATATTAAACATCTTAATATTTTTAAGCATGTTATTATCAGGAATGGATTAGTTATTTCTGCACCAAAGATGCAATTATTTCAAACAACAGTTTGCTATTTAGGACATAATATCTCCAATGGAAGTATTATTCCTATTAACAGGAGTATGGAGTTTGCTTCTAAATTTCCAGATGAAATTAAGGATAAAACTCAGTTACAGAGATTTTTAGGTAGTCTCAATTATGTTCGAGATTATTATCATCAATTATCTGCAGATGTTAACATTCTATATAACAGGCTTAGAAAGAATCCACCACCATGGTCAGCAGAACATACTTTAGTAGTTAAGAGAATTAAAGCTAAAGTCCAACAGTTACCGTGCTTACAGTTACCCAATCCTAATTGGAAAAAAATTATTGAAACAGATGCATCCAATGAAGGATTTGGTGGGATTTTAAAACAGCTTAATCCCAATACCCAGAAAGAAGAACTATTACGATTCCATTCTGGTCATTGGAATAAAGCCGCTTTAAATTATCCAACCATCAAACAGGAATGTTTAGCTATTGTTAAATGTGTTATTAAATTTCAGGATGATCTTTTAAACCAGCATTTTCTTATCAGAGTTGATTGCTCTGTTGCTAAACAGATTTTTAAAAAGGATGTCAAAAATCTTGCTTCCAAACAGATATTTCTGACTTGGCAAAGTTTTTTTATCTAATTTTGATTTTGATATTGAATATATCAAAGGAGAAACTAACTTTTTGCCTGATTTCTTGACCCGTGAATATTTGCAGAAATCACATCCTGAAGAGGAATGACCAGTAGAGGCCACAGAGGTCGTGGTCGTGGCAGGGGTCACAACCCTTGCTATGATCTAACAGAATTTCCACCTTTAAGAGGTCAAACCAGTAATCCATCAGCTAAGGATATTCTCCTTAAGACTGAAGAACTGTATATCCCTAACAGTATTACAGAGGAAACAGTCCTCTATATTGAAACAGCAGATGAACAATGGATGACCGATCCATGGGAGATCAAGCGTAGGTATCTTACAACGCAACAATCTCCACCTCACTTTGACCAGTACCGATATATCTATGAACAGATATTAACCGAAATTGGGGCAGCTGAAATTAAACATACTTTACATGATGTTAATAAAACTGCTAGCCCAATTCAATTCAGTAAAATTGTCATCCGCCAGCTTATGCCCATTTCTACTTGGGGCATTCATCCGCATA